CACTGGTCACTGGATCGAAGAAAGAACAGTCGGTGTTTGGAGCGTTCAAAGTGCCCTTCTTGGCTTTACTCGACTGAACAACGCTCACAACGGTGTCCGTCTTGGTCAAGCGCTGTTCAAATTAGTTAAACGTGTTGGGATTGAACATAAGGTAAGTAAAATTCTAGCTTCATAACAGTGTGGCACTGATGAAGTTTCAGATTGGCTACATTACGTGCGACAACGCAGCCAACAACGATACCATGATGGAACATTTCGCCGTCCACATCGAGGCACACACCAAGAAGACATTCGATCATAAAAAACGGCGCCTTCGGTAAGAGTTTCTATGTCTTGTTTATTACTACCAATTCTCACATATATTCAGGTGCTTGGCCCACATTATCAACCTCGCAACTCAGGCGCTGTTGTCCACACACAGCAAGTCGAGGCACTACGATGCCACCCAACCTAACTACGATTTGCTTGCCCCCGTGACTCACTCCACACTTGAACGAGACGAGGTTGGATTAGTCCGGTCAATCTGTGTCAAGGTTTGCTGTCCGTCAAATGCACATATGTTTTGTTGACATTGTTCATTGTAGGAGCGCTCCTCAGCTCAACGAAAGGAACTTTTTCAGAGTGTCCAGCGTCGAGATGAAGATGGCCACACGCCAATCAAACATCCACGACAGCTGCTTCTCGACATGAAAGTAAGGTGGTCCTCAACATACACCATGCTTCAATGTGCATTCAAGCTGCGAGATGTAAGTTCAATTTAGGATGTCAATGTTGTTCCCGCTGATGTATATTATTAGGAAGTTGACTATTTTGTGGGCCGGCTCGGTTTGCAAGAGAAGGACTCAGCTAAACGGAAAAAGATTACGGACCTTGAGCTATCATCTGAAGAGTGGACCTGTGTTCAACGTCTGCTCTCAATCCTTGGTGTATGTATTTTTATCTTACAACTCGAGTCGCGGCTCACGTTGAAACTACAGTTTGCCGAGTTGTCGCAGCAGTCCTTCTCATCTGAACAAGGACCAATGCTTCACTTAGCATTGCCTGCATTGGAGTCGTTGCATAGCGCATGGTCTTCACGTTCTGGACGTATTAAGTATCTCGATTTTGCGGAGGGCCTCGATGCTGGTATTGAGAAGATTACGAAGTATTACGAGAAGTCGAGTAGTTCTGACGCCCATATTATGGCGATGCGTGCGTCGTTCTTTCATGTACATAGTATTACTCCCACTGACTTTCCAACGACAGTTCTCGATCCGTCACAAAAGGAGACCCATCTTCGCAAGTATTGGGGCAAGGAATTGCTTGTCGAAGCACACAGACATGCAGAGGAGATGGTAAGTAAAGCTCTCGTCACAACACACTCACTAATGGTACATCTAGTACAAAGAACGGTATCTCGAAATGTACAGCAACGATCCCGACTCTAGGAATGGTGTCGAACTCAAGGTCAGGAAGACAGGGAATCGCAAACTCGATGCTCTGCTGCAAGAGCTCTCTGACGGCGAGGATGACAGTGACTCGATGCTGCAGCCCACCCTAATCATTGGGGCGAGATCCACAAATTCTGTCACTCCCTCCGAAGCTGCGAATGAGCCGTGGCGGCACGACTTTCACGCTTACCTCAACTCCAAGGACCACCTTGGAGATATGACTATTGTGCAGTGGTGGGGCATCAACGCACCTCGATACCCAGTCTGGGCGTCACTCGCGCGTGACTTCCTTTCCATTATGGCCACATCCGTGTCCAGTGAACGTGCATTCTCATCTGCTGGTATTACTATCTCCAAGCGCCGAAATCGTCTCAAACACGACATCGTCGAAGCACTGCAGTGCTTGAAATGCATGATCAAACATGATCTCCTGTTTCACAAGGACCCATCTGTTGCAACCGAGTTCGTAGATGATGCATTGTCCGAAGATAAGACTCCTGCTGCTCTCAACGAAGATGATGGGTGGGATGATGTTGCTGAGGATTTATGTGAGAATGAGGAGCTGTTAGAATCAGATGACGAAGATGTTTCTATTCAAATGTTAGATGAAATTTGATTTACTTGCTACGTTTTTTGTATCACAAGGCCCTAGGCCCAAGCCGAGCCAAGCCCCAGCCGAGCCTGAGCCCTACCATAGGGCCTGGCCTTGGTTTGAAGCAAGCCCCAGCCCTCCAAGGCCGAGCCGTGGCCCCGGCTTTTGAGCCGAGCCGGGCCTTGAACATCACTATTCGGGTTTCAGCACTCAAAACTCGGTGATTTGTGCAGTGAGTGAAAATGGACATGTTGTGCACATATTTTCAGGGTTCGGCCCTCGGAACTCGGAACTCGATGACTTGTGTAATATAATTGAACAATGGACATGTTGCACACCCAGTTTTGAGTTTCAGGTTTCGGCACTCAAAACTCGGTGATTTGTGCAACAAGTGAAAAATGGACATGTTGCATACATATTTTTGGGTCTCGGGGTTCGAGTCTTGGGTCTCAGCACTTGGAACTTGATGATTTGTGTAATGTAAATGAAAAATCAACATGTTGCACACCGGGTTTTGAGTTTCAGGTTTTGGCACTCAAAACTCGGTGATTTGTGCAACAAGTAAAAAATGGACATGTTGCGCACATATTTTCGGGGTTCGGGTCTCAGGTCTCGGCACTCGGAACTCGATGATTTGTGTAATTTAAATGAAAAATCAACATGTTGCACGCCAGGTTTCGAGTTTCAGGTTTCAGCACTCAAAACTCAGTGATTTGTGCAACAAGTGAAAAATGGAAATGTTGCATACATATTTTCGGGTCTCGGGTCTCGGCACTTGGAACTTGATGATTTGTGTAATGTAAATGAAAAATCAACATGTTGCATGCCGGGTTTTGAGTTTCGGGTTTCGGCACTCAAAACTCGGTGATTTGTGCAATGAGTGAAAAATGGACATGTTGTGTACATATTTTCAGGTCTCGTGGTTCGGGTTTCGGCCCTTGGCACTCGGAACTCAATGATTTGTGTAATATAATTGAACAATGGACATGTTGCACACCTGGTTTTGAGTTTCAGGTTTCGGCACTTGAAACTCGGTGATTTGTGCCACAACTGAAAAATGGAAATGTTGCATACATATTTTCGGGTCTCGGGGTTCGGGTTTTGGCCCTCGGCCCTCGGAACTTGATGATTTGTGTAATATAAATGAAAAATCAACATGTTGCATGCCGGGTTTTGAGTTTCAGGTTTCAGCACTCAAAACTCAGTGATTTGTGCAACAAGTGAAAAATGGACATGTTTGTAGAGACTTATTTCGAGCGAGGAGACACGTGCACTAGGAGAACAAATGTATATCTCAGTTTCTAGTAAGAACTCGTTATACGAGCTTAAGTACCTAGGAGAACAAATGTATCTAAGTCTCGTTAGTACTGTATAATGTGCGTGATGAATATAAACGGCTTACATCTCAGTTTCTAGTAAGAACTGAGATGTGAGGATGAATCTACTCAAAGATATATAGTGTTTAGCATAGAAACGCGATATTGTGAAAATAAACTTGGTAATATGGACAAGTACGAGCCGATGTCATGCGTTGCTCGCTCGTCCTCTTTTGGCTGCGCTCGTACCTCTCTTATTCTCCCCCTGACGCAATCAACTCGGATCTTTCGGTCTCTGCTATCGATACGTCGGTGTTCGACAATGTTGCATACATATTTTCGGGTCTTGGGTTTGAAAAATAGCATAATAACAACTTTCATGTTTTCATTATCATTTGCCTATATTGACTACCGAGTCTGATAAGGGACCCCTTGGATGATCCATTGCTCAATGAAATACTACCTGATTGGAAGTGTGCTGGTTATCAGATATTCATTTGTTGACTCCCGGGTCCTGGAACTCGGAAGTCAGTATGGTTGACCCAAATTTGGGTGATTGGAACTTGGTGTCTCATAGGGCAACACAAGCTTCACACCCCAGATTCCAAATTCTGCAAGACAACCTGTGCACCATCAAAGGCCATGTCAGGAGATCACCTGGTGCTCCGGGAACTCGGGAACTTTAATTTATTACCTCCTCTGAGTACGGTTGACCCAAAGGTTGGTAATTGGAACTTGGCTTCTCATAGGGCAACACAAGCTTCACACCCCGGATTCCAAAATTTGCAAGACAATCTGTGCACCATCAAAGGCCATGTCAGGAGATCACCTGCTGCTCCGGGAACTTGGTAACTTTGATTTATTACCTCCTCTGATTTGGTTGATGTACAACTACCTCAGCTCCATCATGTCTACAATTATGATACACATGGGCCCACCCATCTATATTTTATACCACCCTCGGCTCACCCGTCTAATACAACATCCCATACAACACCCTCAGCCCACCCGTCTAATTCATATGTGTCTGGGCCCACCCATCTAATACAATATTTTATAATACCCTCGGCCCACCCATCTAATTTAATATGTGTCTGGGCCCACCCGTGAATGTGATAACAAGTACCTACCCATCTATCTCATACATATCTACCTTAATACACCCATCTGCATAATATCCAACTACCTCAGCCCACCCGTCTACCTAATATTCATGTACATCAGCCCACTCATCTACTCTATATATTCCCTGCATGGGCCCACCCGCCTCCATCGGGAATAATTTGCCTCCCGGCCCATCCATCATAGTCAAGGATATTTTTATCATGGGCCCATGGTCCGCTGGCCCATATCATATGGGATATTATGCACATCCATTCCCTCGTATTATATGGAGATAGGTCACTGTAATATGTGAGATGATCGATTGTTGCTCGTAGTTGGAGGTGTCGCAGACACAGGTTTTTGTTTTGTAGTGTTCTTTGCAGCCAGAGGTTTTGCAGGAGCCTGACAAGGTCATAGTTCAAACATCATCAAAACAAAATAAACTTACACTTTTTTTCCCCTGACGTAGCTGCACAGGAGCCATTGATTTTTCTTCAGGATCACTGACATCAAGCTCAGGGTAATCATTTTTCCATTTCCAACTCTTCACCGGTGCTGCTACCGCTTCTCCAGCTTTTTGAAGCTGTGCTGCATGGCCGCCAACACCGCAATTCGATCTTGAGCTTTGTCGACAAGGTGCTGTGTTGTCTTGAGCATTGGTAGAACATCTAGCCCTCTTCTTGGGAGGCATCGAGCAATATTGTCAGCTGTGACTGCAACAAAGCTGTCATGAACAAGGTCGCCGGTTAGTACTTATTGATCTCACATAAGCTAATGTTATGTAATCAGACAGTATGCATACAGAGGCTAGTACAGTATCATCCTCAAAAAATAAATGAGATTCACAGTAGACCAAGGAGAAAAGATAAGTACTCATGCCAGCATGGTACAACTCAGAACGAGATGACGAGACTTCTCTCTATCTCATCTTGTCCTCCGAGTAATAGATACAAGTCGTTGAGAACGGCGTGGGCCTGGCTGACTAGTCGAAGACCCTGTTGTGCCAGTACATGGAAGGGTTGAAGGACCTGCGGTGGGTTGAACAGTAGGAGACTGAGGAGGAGGATAGGGCAGTGGGATTGGGATGGGTATTTCATCTGAGTCCTTGAGTTTCGCGATGAACGTTACAAGCATCTCGAATATGTGATCGTGAATGATTGTGGCATTGGTGTCAATTTCTGTGAGGTGGATTTGACCGTGCCATTCATTGACTAGGGGTTTGAATTCCAAAAAATAATTGGAGACTCTGTCCATTAGAAAGTCGCCTTTGGATATGGCCCCCTTCTTCGATAAGAAGGTGGTAAGTAGACCACTGGCACCTAAGTTTTCATAGGCCTCCGACCATGGCATTGCCAGCTTATCCCATGTTGGTGCGACTACACCACGTGCCCCCCCATACTTCATAACAAATTCGAAAAAAATGTAAAACATAGACTCAAGGTCATCGCACATGTAGTGTTCGATTTGCTGCAGCTGAGTAGCATCAGCAGTCTTTTTAATGGTCTCGGCATTTCTCAACATCTTCTTAAGGACACGCATGGAGATATATGAGATAGTCCCCTAGAAAAAAATAAGATCAAAAGCAAGAACGGTAAACTGGACATTCAATCTTACAGTACCAAATGAAATTGTAGACATCTTGCCTTCCTCTATAAATCCAGCATGATCGAAATCAATGAAGTAGCTGTTACCCTCATAAATGATGAAGTTGTTCGGGCTGAGTCCCCATGTAGAATTCCACATTCAACCATGAGTCTATGAGCTAATGATACAACATTAAACTTGAATTTGATGCATCAAATTGAACTGAACTCACCAACAACAAAGTCACGAAAAGCACAGATCAACTCCTTCCTAGAGCTGAAGTGTGACAGCGGTTCCCCACAAGGAGTCATGACAAGCCGTCGGTGAAATCAATTGCAGAACCTGTGGTCATCCCTATCGTCCAGGTCAAACTGCTGATAGCAATCACGAATCTGTGCTGTACAGTCAGGCTCCCCGTCATACATGACATCCCAATCATCTACAAGTTGGATGACATTAGGGATGTCATGGACTCACTTGAGAATGGCCACCTCGTGATATCTCTTTGCCTCAGGCACCCAACAGTCCTTCATCACATAATCCTTCCCGTCAGTAGGATCTCTGACATGGTAACAAACTGTTCTGTGACAGAAGAAACCCTGACTCTTCCACAACATCCATTATCGAGTAAGTTTTACCATTATTGTTGACTACCAATCCTTTCGCCCCCACAGCCAGAGAGAGGTGAGTACCATGGCAATCAGCAATGCACATATGGATGGTAGGGTCAAGGCCAAAGTACTGCAGATCTGCTAATGCGGTCATGGCTATTGCCTCGGTGACACAGATTGGAAATTTGTGGATGGGGGTCGGAAGGGACATGATGAGACCTGAGCAGTCAAAATAATGGGCGTGAAGATCATCTGCACAAATAGAGTAGGCAAGAACGAAGCAATGCCAGGTTTTTTCCCGCATAATGAGGTACACTTTGGTAGCAGATCCCCAATACATTGCTAAATCATGTGTTACAGCAAAATTGCTGGGGGTGTGTTCCACAAAGCTCAAAACATCAGCCCATGTTTTGTCCCGAAGTTTGTTCGGGCTACATCAGGCTTCTGCATGTTATATGGGTCTGGTATGGGTGAGTTCGCAAACTCTGCAGACCAGTACCACTCAATGGGAGAAATATCAAAGGGAAGTTTCTGTGGGTATCCGCTTCGATTGTGCAGGGCCCACTGAATGGCATGGAATAAGTACTGTAAGTCCCTCTCGGTTGAATGCTTGTTGCGTTTTCTCTTCAATCCTGTCTTTACAGTGCCATTGAATTCATTGTCACTCCCATAGCGGTCAGTTCCTTGGGAGAAGATTGTCAAACCATGAGAATCCAAGGCCTCGAGTTCTGCACTCGAGTCATCAGTGGCGTCTGTGTCGGAATCCCTCATCTTGCTCTTTTTCCTGCGATTAAAATTCCATTTTTTTGTATGTATACTGGTGAGCCATCCTTCTTGTGGTACTTGATCTTTTTGATGTGGTGTAGTTGAAGGGAGGATATGGGGATGAGTGCGTGGAAGATAGAATCAGTAAATTTGATCTTACTGAGGCCAGACTCATCAATGACATGGCCATCAAGCTCTGATCTCAGAAGACCCTTCACAGTATTGACTGTGCGTCCACCTAAAGGTGGGAAGCCCACAGAGCTAAGTGATGCCCTGCTGTGTGTGAGGAATGATAGCTAGATGAGAAGGGGTGAAAGGGGAAGAAAGGGTGAAGTGGGGTGAAACTCAAATAGACCTCTGGACGTGAGTATATGATTTGGCCCAAGGGGATTGCTACTGAGAACGATTCCTCTATATAAAGTGGAGGGAAATCACTGAAACTAGTAAGGGTGGTTGAGAATGGATGGGACACAAATGCGAATGCGATGCGATGCGAGCGCGAGTGAGCCGCCGTTGACGTGGCGCGGAATGAGCTTGAGCGGCTGAAGATACGTTAGCACACGATAAAGCACGGCCATGCGGGAAGATATGCGGGCGCCGCAAAGTATTAGGAATAATGCGAAAGGCCGATAGTTACGCGCGGCAGCTGATACAAAGTTTTAGACTTTTGGTTCAGATGGTAATGTGTGCAAGTGAGTGATGGATTCTCTATGGGAGGTAAAAGATACATGAAATTCATAAGTACAGGTATATATGAGGATGTGCCAAAGCGCTATTTGGAGCCGAGTAGGTAGCGGCTGTAGGTAATAAGGGTCCATGATGAAAGTAATAGCGATATAAACGAATTAGCGTCGGAATTATGGTCAGTCTATTCCAAAACAAGTGAAATACGCACCGATAGACCAGCGGAGGACATGGATAGGACAGGATAAGGACAGGATAAGGACACGCGACAGGGCCGAGTAAAAGCCGTTATGGTCCGATATACGGGCACGAGCCTCGGCCGTTGGCCGATAGCAGAAAAGATGTGCGCCGCGTTAGTGTTAGCGCGCGCAACGCGAGGACCTATGGGACAACGCAAAAATAGCCTTTACAAGGCCACAAGGACTCTAAGTCCTACACCACAAAGGTAAAGGTCGAATGATGTGGCACCAGCCTGAGGAAGTTCGGGTGATGAGGTCGTCATTGGTGGTTTACCAGGTGAGTCTGAACTGGATGACGTGCTGTGAAACGGTGTCTGGTAGAAGGTGTGCCAGTATGATGTGTCTCAGTACTCAATACTAGTAGTGTTTGTGCAGTCTGCACAAGAGTGCATAGGTGCTCACGGGTGGTGTCGGGCTTGTCAGGACTCCATTCCATCCTCATCCGATTTCACTCGATGATCCGATTTCACCAATTGCAAAATTTGCCATGTAGAATACATAAAATCTGAAGTAAATGTATCTATCCTTGCGAGAGGGCAGCATATGTCTGTTTGTCAAAGTACTTGTTTAAGAAAAAAGATGAATGATAATGAGCAGAATTTGCCTTTGTCAACTGCGCGTCTGCTGCACGACCTAGTTGGGGAATGATATGAATAAATGCACGAAGTTGGCTAAGGGGAACTATGTCACCCACTGGCGCGCCATTGGCATGTTTAGCGTGTTTCAATACATGCATCTCAGTGACTGGATCAACCACACCCATTTTGAAACTATGCACATAGCACAAATATTGATCTTGCCATGTGATTTGTGAACCTCGCCGAGGAACTGGGCGCATTATGAGCTGCAATTCGCAGACACGGTGCCCTTCAAACAGGGGGAAAGGTGTCAACGATAAGCAAGATTAGTATCAACATAAACAAGCTCACCCATCAACCCCGACTTAGGCCAATCATAGGCTCGATCAACATTGATGAGGACAGCATCCCGTCGGCCTTTTGGCCACCCGCTGGTAGGAGATGGAGGGGAGGCATGCACAGTCTGTGTGGGTAAGACAACACTGGCATCATAGAAAGAAACTTGTTGCAAATGAACAGTATGCCATATCTGGATACGTTCAAAAGGAAGAACTGAGGGATGGTCGATTTGTGGTCTCCTTGGAACCCCCAACCCATGGCCTGCTTCTCTGTTCCTCGCATCATGTTGCAAGAAGTCAGAAAGAGCCTGACGTAAATCTGGTATGTCGAAGTCATCAGCAACCTCATTGATTTTCAACCCAGTGCGAGTAGGGTCAAAATTAAGATGAATAGCAGTGGAGGCAGCAACGAATGTCTGAGGAGGGTGAGAAATATTATCATATCTCATGCCAACCAATTGCCTTGCTTTGCTAAAGTAGTTGGTGGTGATGCGTGTTTGGTTCAGCTCTTCTAAGAGCGCAGTTCGTGGATCTGTCAGTTCGTGGATCTGTCAGTTCGTGGATCTGTCAGTTCATCACAATCTCCATTGTCTTCCTCGTCTTCCTCGTCCTCAAGGAATTCTTCTGAGTTAGAATCAGCGCAAGTACTCTTTAGTGTCGTAGCAATCATGAAATGTTGCAGCTTCTCCTGGCAATCTAAATGATGACAGATCTAAGGATCATAGTCATTGTTATTGGTGTGCCGCACAGGGTCCTTAATCTCAGATATATGGGCATGCTCAGTGGTGTCTGTGGACCACTGAATAAGGGCGCCAACTTTGCATGAGCTGGCAGTGATGCTCTGCATGAGTTCAAGCTTTGGTATGAACCAGTTGTTGATAGGCTTCTTCATCCCCATCTGAGCCTTTAGGGAGATGATAACGTCTTTGTTTTCGTGAAAGATCAAAAGTGATCTGTCAATATGCGCCAGTAAATTTTCATCAGGCAAAGGAGACTGCGCCATGTACTGGACATCCATAAGAGCACAGATCGCAATCACAAATTGATGGGGAGCTGCACCAGCAATCAGGCCGACAATGTAACGCTGGAGATCTTGGTGCGCTCTACCTGTGACTTGCTTCAATTTTGAAAACCCACCAGAAAAGTGGTGATAACCTGTAGTAGGTTGCAATATTGAAATGCGAAAATCTAATTCCTGCGCTCCAACAACTGTAAGGCACCATTGGAGGTCATGATCATAAAACTCCTTGTGCCAGTGATGCAAAGGTTCGGGTGTCAAAAAGACTGAAGGATCAGCAAGCGGCCAGTCCGCCCAGAAAGGAGAATGGACACCATTTAATCGGTATTGCTCGCATGCCTGGAAGTAAGCTTCAAGGTCATTAGGGTCAACCGTTATGCTATTGAGCTGTTCCAAGGTGATGGAGCGCGTGCGCTCGGGATGATGAAAAGCGTCCCCGAATTCCAGATATGATGCCAAGGTAAACGGCAAAGTTTTCCTGTGCATGCATGCAAGCATACATGCCTCCAGGGTATCGACAATATATGCAGCAAGAGGCATAAAACAGTGGCACACATTGCCTACTGGGTCGGACATCATGATTCCAATTTCAGCAGCTTTCATTAGGGGCTTCAAAACTATGGAAAGACATTTGTGCATGAGGCGATCTTCTAGCATGCCCCGCATCCGTGGATTTGAATGCAAATACTGCGGGATAGGGAGGAGGGCCGTAAGAAGAAAAGCTCTGGATGAGAGCTTGGTGCAAGTGTTCATGTGAATGTTAGCAAGGCCTAAAAGGAGTGGATGAGTGACCCTGGCACCAGCCATATTGGTGATATTTGTTTTGTCCGAAGACAGTACAGTGCCTAGGACTGTCGCACCTCTTGGAAGCTGGTCCTGCAGTCCTTATAATGAGACGAAATGAATATTTAGACACAAGCCGTACATACCTGGATCTCCCAAGCAGAGTCGCCTGTCAACCACCCTGAGTATACACAAAGAAGCCGTGCTGATGTCGTATAAACATGGCAAGGGACAAAATCGAGCTGGTCATGGAAAAGGGGGTTACTGAAGAGACTCTCCAAACATTCCACCGGGTCCTTCCAAAATAGTCGGATAGGGCCTTTTGTGTGATTGAGTGAAGGGATAGTTTGGCACTTCCAGCTTGGTCCTTTTGGCAGCATTTCAGCACGGCTTCATAATTCTTTAGCATTGCAGAATGACAATTTCAACTGATGGATCTTCAAATAATGTCAGCAAGCGCCAGCACTTGTGAAAAGGACATGCACCATAGGGAGTTCCAGAAACTGATTAATTGCTGCCATACTGAGGGGAGAACGCAGGAGAAAATCAGCGGCCTCCCACCCTTCCTTTGATGCAAAAGGGTAGAAGAGGTTTTCCTTCCTGCATTCTGCATACTCATCAGCGTCAAACAGATCCAGAAAGGTCACACCATCCTGAGCATAACAAGTCCCTGTGCCCTCATACACCTCCACCTCTGATAACGATTCTCCATCGTCCTCAAAATGGGCACCATCAAAGTCAACATCCATCATGCTATCCTCAGCATCAAATTGTGGGACATCCACTTCCGACGTTGATTGAAGAGATTGCTGTGGCGGAATCAACTTGACAAAATGCAAGATATCAACCATATCGCGAGTGGAACTGTGGCACGACATTCAAGGCTGGCTGAGGTGTTGAGTTCACTGGATTCCTTAGTGAATAACTTTCCGCACTTTGGACAAGCTGACATATTTAGAGGTCGTCACAGCTCGATTCAAATAAGTCTCACGCTACACTGCGCTTGCTCTGACACTTTGTACTAAATATTGTCCATATTGCTGCTACAGTGCTCTTGATGCAAAACAACGTTAACTCTGTAGCCCTTCCATACCATCACCAGGCCTCTCACAATTCTGGAAGTTCTTCTCGAGGTTCCTCTTGCAATTCTGGAGTTTCTTCTCGAAGTTCCTCTCACAATTCTGATATTTCTCTTCATCTTCCATCCTCTCATTGTCATCCTGAACGCTCTCCATATCCTCGGTCCAGACAGAGTCTACAACATCCATCTTCTCTGCCACAATCACAGCTGATCAAGGAGGAAGACAGCTTCTCCATATTGATGCACCTTGTGAGTTGTTATCAGCCAATTTCAATGCTTCGTGACTCTTATATGCTTTTGATACTGGCAGGAACGAGACTCCACATCACTCAAAGAGGAAGATGATCACTCTGACCTTGCACTCGAAGCAGCTAAAGCCAAACATAAAGTTTGCCAGGCTCAAAAGCACCTGGCGGATTGTATTTTGGAACACCATGAGATACTCACACATCTCTGCCACCATCATGCAGAGGCTGCAAATACTTGTTTATTATTAGCTGACCTGAATGTCAGGCACTTGCATCTTAAGCATAGAAAAGACGGTATCACAACATTTATTCAAACATAATTGACAGTAAGTGCCCAGTTTGTGATGTTCCTGTACCGCACTAATGGCACTGCTAATTAATTCACAGCTTAATGATATTGTAAATACTTGTGGTTCTTTTTCTTCTTTGCGCGTAAATAGCTTCAATAAAAGACCGTATTTGTATTTTCCTACACAAGGCTTATCGTTTGTACAGTTTGTATGTATGTGCTACTGTGTGCTTGTCAAGCATGTCAAGTTTGATCCCAATTATTGGCTATTTGCTTGTGTGTCTGTGATGTGTGTATGGCCTTGTGTGTCCTTGTGCCGATTTGTCAATGATGTGGGAACTGTCATGAAATTGGTAGTTTGCTGATGTATGTTTGCGCGATTTGCTGGGATTGGTGTTGGACATGAGGTCCAGTACACCTCCTCAGCAATCAAAAGAAATATTGGGATGATGCTTTCAGTTGCGGAGATGAATCATCTGATGAGGAAGAAGCCATTGAGGATGGAGATGCCGAGGGAGATGTCATTGAGGAAAATAACATGGAGGAAGGCGATGTTGAGGAAGATGATGTTGAAGAAGATGATAATGAAAGTGATGTCAGCGAGGATAGTAACAGTAGTACTGAGGATGTTGATGAGCCTGAAGAGTCAGACTTGGATGGGGAGGATGACAGCGATGACGACGACAACCTATACTATAGATTTTAATGCATGGGGAACATTACATTACACAGGGCCACCATTTGCAAATAGCTGTAAGTTGAAGGTACTAGCGGGCACCGGGAATGAACATACTTAATTTGGACTTTGTGTTACAACTTACAATGGTATTTCTTAGAATATAATACTTTGACGAGAAGGGTAGCTTTTCTCATTGGTGGAATTAGCAATCCACCCTTGTCAGACTATCCAATACTATCTCAACAGCAAGAACAATGATTCATGTTTGTAGTTTGAGTTTACTTGCAGATAGACTTTGTAGCGCTTGATAATAATAACAAAATTTGGAGCCTGTGTTACAAGGGTATTTCTGAGAGTATAATACTTCACCGAGAAGGAGAGATTTTCTCGTTAGTGTAATTAATAGGGATCCTCACACCTGGGAGCTTACGGTTTATGCTTATCTGTGCTTATGCTTACAACCCCCCCCCCCAGTTGCGCAGCCGTGGATTATGTAATACAATAGTAGTGCCACTCATCAATTAGCAGTGTAGTACACTTGTAAACCAAGCCTATGGCACAAATTTCTCTCCATGAGCAGTATCTCCATGCATATATGATATATGTTGTCCATGGTTCTCCACACCCAGGCAAATCCAGTACTATCCCCCGAAGAGGCTGCTGTGCTCCTCAATTGTGATTAGGCATTGGCACGGGTATGGGTAACCTATGCGGGTCATGGGTATGGGTATGGGTCTGACTTTCAAGACCCGTGACCCGTGTACCCGTGTGGGCAATACCCGTGCAGGTATGTCATGTGACTTTGTTTATGGTGCTGGTTCTTGTTATTGTATTCATTCTCATTAATATTGTACCACGGCCGTAGGCCATGAGGGAGTTGCAGGGGACCAGTGCTGGTGACACTGAAACTCAAGGTATGTTCTAACTTTTCATCATTTTTATATTCTTACTACGATGCATCTACTTCACAGGGAAGCACTGGCCTTGCGCCCGGTCGGTCACACAGATCAGTCCATGTCATTAAATAACCTCGCAAATCAACTCTCCTCTCGCTTTGACCACCGAGGCAACGACAAAGACTTGGATCAGGCTATTGCACTTCAGAGGGAAGCATTTGCCTTGTGCCCAGTCGGTCATGTGAATTGGTCCATGTCATTAAACAACCTCGCGACTCAACTCTCCTCCCACTTTGACCATCGAGGCAACGATGAAGACTTAGATCAGACTATCACACTTTACAGGGATGCGCCAAAGGTGCGTTTCTTGCTGCTCTCACTCTCTCACTTGCTAATCTTTTGCTCATTGCTCTCAGTCATTCGCTGCTTGTTCCAGGTGCGCATTTTTTTTTTCTCGTTTACTAATATCTTTAACTTTATAGTGTGCTACTACCACCACTCACACCCTACTACCACCACTCGCGCCTCTCGTTCTTCCTGTCTCGTCCCTCCTTCTACTCTTCTGGCGCTCTCCAGTGTCCTCCACATATGTCCGAGCCACGTCAGCATTCGCCAGCATGCACTGGGCGTGTGCGCTAAGCACTGGTGGCTGCTGGGATTGGGTGGGGGCAGGTACACCTGCCATGGGTATGCACCCGCACCCATACCTGTACCCGTGTCTACAGGTACATACCCGTGGCGGGTACGGGTATGGGTTGGCCTCGAGGCACCTGTGGGTTTACCCGTGCGGATCCCTAATTGTGATATCTCCTGTATTATCATGATTCAACAAACACACTATCTATGTGGACGAACACCTGTTCCAAAAGCTGGCAGTCTTCATCTTGCATGAGAGTTTGCCCAAAACCCATCCAATTACAATCAATTTTTCAACATGCTTTGGGTATCTCTTCAATCATTCGAGGTCTCGCTTGATCTAATTGAAGACCACCTGGTTTTTGAAAACAACTCCACCTGCGCACAAGCTCCAGTCCGTCTGCAGCTTGCTGTGACACTCTATCAGATGGGTTGCTATGGTAATGCTGCATCTCTCCAGGAGATTGCCCGTCATGCAGCAATCTCTGAGGGTGGTGTTGAAAAATTTACAGCACGGTGTTTTATTGCTATTGAATCCTTGCATGATATCTTCATGCGACTACCCACTCAGGAGGAAAAAGAGGTAGAGAAATGTTAGATTGATAGTTGAGTTGGTTTCCGAGGTAGTTGGAGAGAAGGTTGGGTGATGTAGCAAAACAAGCCTATTCTCGTCTTTCTCGACCTCTGACAGCAAGGTCCATGTCATATTCTCGGTGTAGAAACAACAATACTGAGAGGAACTAATGAGGCTCCTGACTGTATCTAAAAAAATGTTGTAGGTCGTGTGTTGCCTAGTCTGCATTACTTGAGGAGACAAGCGCATTCGACCCTAAAGGGAAGCGAGTGCAGCGAAGATCTAGAGGTACGCTGTCTTGTTACTTAAGGGTCTTATATGAAAGTTGTGTATAATGACAACACAATTATACACGGTGAAGACTTCTTGCCAGTCCTTAAGTCCACGGTCTCCAACTTTTCTACTTCGTGGGAGGTAACGTGGTGAGTTCTTGGGAGGATTTAATTTGTTGTCCTCTTCTTGTGTAGTCTTATACGAAGTTGTTGTGGAATGTTCTGTGTTCTGGATAAATTCGTTAGGTTTGTTTCAGCCTAGTAGGTCGTGTTTCAACCTATGAAAGTCTGTTTCAACTTTGTCGTCCTTAGATGTGTCTCACTTTCTGTTGAAAGAGAGAGTCTTATGAATACATGTAAAGCTTAGAATGAGAGCTGTTCAATGGTTATATAGTCAACCCCTGTAAGGTAGTATATAACTTTAGAGTAGATAATGATATCTTAGATTACCTCAAGGCACTTATGTTGGCCTGCACTTTAAGTCTTAGTGGTCTCACACGGTTTGAGATAAGAGTCAAGTGGGAGGATTGTATTTCATGGGTGAAAATGGGGTCCTTTTATACCTTTTGGGAACCCCCTTACTAAGCATGATTAATCAGATGGATTGGTAAGAATGTGGCTTACAAACCAGGTGATGAATCAGCTTATTACTAAGTACATTACAAATACAGTGTAATCTTACAAAGAAATTACAAACCATGACAAACCATGACTAAACATGTTGAGTCATGTTAAATGTTGTTACAAAGCATGGCCAATCATGACTAAACATGTTGAGTCAGCTTAAATAATGTTACAAACCAGAAAATTTCCCAGTCACATGATGTGATGACAAATAAAAGCTGGTGGCTGAAAGAAGCCAAATAAAAATAAACAGTCAGAAATAAATAGAGATACAAAACTTGGTAGCTGAAAGAAGCCAAATAAAAATAAACAATGAGAAATAAACAGAAGGTCACATGCTTGATACAAATACAAGGTAAAATAAGCCTGTAAAGTGAGAAATAAAAAACAAGACAATGAAATAAAGGAAAAATAGAGAGGTAACTTAGTGACAAAGGGCTAGACAGTCTCTCATATCTTCCTTATCACTCTCTATATATATCTGACATGGTATGAATCACATACCATGCATGACAACGCGCTGAAGCGAGGCATGTGAAAGCGCAGGTGCGCGCAAGGCACGGGAACGCGCGCGCGTATTAGCGCGAAGTGTGGGAAAGCGCACGTGCGCATGTGGAAATGATAGAGAGACTAAGCTTAAGTGATAATATAATACAAGATAAGTGAAGAGAGGTGCAAAGTGCAGACAAATAGATTTCTACTATGTTCTTCTAGGTAGACAGTGGGTGGAAAGTATAGTAAAGTGGAAAGTTCAGTAAGGTAAAAGTAGGTTGGAAAGTTAGTTGAAAAGTAAGTGAAAAAACTCCCTCGTAGTATGTACTGCTGGCGCTTATATAGTGCGCCTAAGCGCGGTCATGCGGAGCCGAAGCGCTACCGAGTAGGTATGTAAAGATATATATAAGTAAGGGTCCATTATAAAAATAGAGGTGGAATGATATGCTAATAAAAGAAATGGAAATATACGCACTAGAGGGCTTGGTGGACAGTGGACAGCTCTTAACCAATACAGTCTCAAAAAAAAATGCACAACAAGCCATCATGCTGGAATCCGGTCAATTACGAAACTGGCAGACTTTGGCTTATGTTCAAGCACAGGAATCACTGTGATATCAGGTAGGATAATGTACATGTATGTAGAAGGAGGCTCGATACTCAATCATCCAATAATGTGCCTATTGTATGACTTCCTGTAGAATGTTGAGTGCTGTGCCATCAGCAGGTGGGGCACATCCATCACCATTTCCCTTGAGCAGCAACCTCTGTAACGCAACCAACAAGTATTAAAAGCCTTCATTGCATGAAAACTTGGCATCACATCCTCCAGCAACTGAACATCAACACATTCTGCAGGGAGATGCACATACTCACAACGGGACCACAGATAAAGCAGTTTTTCACCACCATCTAGAAACAGAGATAAATTTGGACACCGGGTATAAAAGCATACCTTAAGCACTGTGTGTGGGTGTCTCACCTCGTCCAGTCCATTGATCAAGTCTAGACGGATGTTGAGAAATCTGGGCGAAGAATGGGATTGCATTATCAGTGATATTGGATCTATGCTGATATGGAAACGATGCTGAATGGTTTACCTACTTCAAGACTTCTGTAATCGAGAGGTCATTCTTCAGCTCGACGGTTACTCTTTGATCTGTCAGTGTCTTGAAGAAGGAGAAGATGAGGTTTTGGATATTCAAATTAGATCAATTGGGTTCGCAGCGAGATGTTATGAAAGCTGACCATGGAAGCACGACTTAAATTTTGATGTGGTGGTGAATGATTTTGACATCATCACTGAAAACATTTTCGCGTGATATGCCGTTATTCAAATTACAATGCTGAATAATCATATTTACTATTGACATAGCATTAAATGGACCGACATCAGTGATCTTGTAATTATATGCCTGAGTGGAATCAACCTTGTTATTGAATAATTACATTCCAAGAAATACACTTGTCACCTCAAGTCATAGTTTTGTCATCATTATCGAGTGGTATCATTTCCTCCGTCAGGTAGATGGCGCTACAAATTTTGGGCAGACACCACCTAATCGGCATCTTGATTATAAGCCCATTTCAAGTACATCTTGTGAGGCACAGGTGTTCTAAGATACAGTCAAGGTTGCACAAGTAGACCTTGTCATGTCGAGCCACTACCAAATCACCCTTAAATTGCTAGTTCTGGACACACTCCACCTAATTGTCATTTCTATTATAAGCCCATAGCAAGTGCAACTCACAAGGTACGGGTGTTCTAAACTACAGCAATAGTTGCAGAAGTAGACCTTGTCATGTCGAGTCAATGCTGAATCACCCAAAAATTGTGGACTTGTTGTAGTTTCATGCCCTGCTGTCCAACAATTATATATCAAGATATAGCCTTGTAATCCCTAGTACTGTTTTTACTAATCAAGCATCATCAGTTTTCTTTTCAGTTCAATTTACATCCTACAAGTGATCTGCTCGCCTGCGGACAGTCCTTCTGAAGTCTTTACTACAACAGTAATGAAGAATAAACTACATTTGCCGTCTCTCTATCTTCATTCATGGGTGACCACAATGTTCAAATATCCCATCGATTTCGCACTCTGGAAAGGGTGCCAGAATGCTGCCATAAGGTGTAGGCTGAGGGGGTTGGTATCCATGAGGCATGGGTAAAATGATATCAGACCGGGGATTCATAGAGAATGGGCTCGACGAAGCGGTTATACAGTGCAGTGATTCGCACCCGCACGTTTCATACCAATCCTTTCTTAACCAACATATTCCACTGCACTGTGCATATGGCATTGACTTTCAGGTTGGGGCGATGAGGCGGTGTATTTGGGTGTGTTAGCATGTATTGTCACTCTCTGTAGGGAGAGGAATAAATCTGTCCATTTTTCAAAAATGTGTTGTCTCAAGTGAGTATGGAGTAGTGTTTTCAATGCTGACAATTCCATGGAAAGAGCAGCAGGACACCATGATGATGAGCTGAAAGAGTTTACAGTGCGAGTGCATAAAAGTGCAAGCCGAGCATGAAAGGGCCCCAAGTGGAGCGCGCACATGGTGTCAACACGATAATCATTATAGTAATACATATAAAAACAGGTATACCGTTATGCAATATCAGTGGCGTTTGGCAGAGGTATTAGCAACTGAATAGTGGGCCGCGACTTGAGGGGAATAAGTGGACACACTGCGGGGGCCAAAAACCTTTCTGTAAACCCATGAGCATGATGAAAAGCTGGCTTGTAGTGTGCTCACCAGTTCCACCACACGAGAAGCGCATCAACAGAAGCTTTGGCTGTTGGTGTTGGCGGATTCTCAAAGTAGTCGACAATGTAGACATAAAATTGGTCATGTTCAAAGTCATCATCAATGTTTCGCCAGGAGCCACAGCTTGAGAGAGCAAACCGTAGCTAGTGAATAAACTTCAGGCATCAGCATTTCAAGAGAAAAATGGAATGGACCTGTACCGCTGAATACGCAATGGCTCTTGGTTGCACTGAGCGCATTCCTAACAACGTAGCAACATCAGATCGAGTACGACGTTCGCCCTGGGTCCTGGATTGTTTAGGGAACGGTTCAACGGGAAGCTCTTCATCAGGCCGCGCATCTGCTGCAGAACTGGGGGACATAAAGATGTGTTTGAAAGTCTTATATCAAAATGTGAGCGGAACAGTTGGGAGGTCAAGAAGTGGACTCACCCTGATGAGAAAAGAGCCTTTGAAGAGCCCTTTGGTTGGGTCTTCCCGGTCATACTCTCCATCTCTATACAAAAGAGAGGGCCACGAGTGAGCTGTGACTTGGAAATTCAGTTCATAGTTTCATAGTGTAGACCAGTGAGATAATGAACAGTCTTACACAGGATCAGCCCAGTTGAGGTCCACAGGGCACAGAAGCTTGGCAGTCGCATCATTATAAAAACCACGTCCTGTCTTGTCGCATGAGTGGATTGGAGGGTTGGGGGGTGGGGAACTCTTGTTCAGCCATGAAGCCACCGCTAATTTCATAGAAGCCATGTCATCGCCCCTTGCTGAATCGGCCCCTCAATTGAGGTGAATAAATGTCAGAAACAAATTAATTGGCACATTACATGGCTTACTTTCTGATATGCAAGATTTAGTTGATGTCCATTGGTTTGAGAGGAGATGAGGCCATGGATGGTTGGGATCCAGCGCAGCAATTGCTGAAATGATTGGTATGTACATCCCTCCCTGGGATGGAACTATATGGTCAAATTAAAACTCAATGAAAAGTGAGGGCACGCACTCTTCGGTGTATTGTGGGTTGTCGTTGGAGTCGTACAGGGAGGTCCTTCGGTTGTATTCCCCAACAAGGTCCTTGACTCGGTCAGTTAAGCTGACAAGGCGCCGAATAACTCGCCCAGTCATGAGGTATGGATCACCATGGCTGTGGGACATAAGCTATCAGATAAAGGTCACCATGGAATATTGTGCCTCACCTTTTAGGGCCGCTTTCTCCTCTGAGCTCGGTGTTTTGTTCCTCCAAAGCGGCTATGCACCGTTTTAGCGCAACATTTTGGTCGTCAGACATTTCCTGGTTGTGAGAAGACTGAGACATGGGTGGTGTGGGATGAAATGGGGAATATCGGTACACTTGAGCTTTTGACGGTCAAATTGTGGTATTGATGCGGAAGGTTGTGTTATGCCCGCCACTGATCGATCACAGAATAGGATACGGCTCCAGTGTTTGGAGCGCTGGAATGCAACCTACCCGAACATTGGTGTAATGCTGCTGCAGAAGCAAGAAAATATGGTGTCACCTGGAGCTTGGACTCCTGTGTGGTGTCCAAGAGGTAAGTCAAACTTTAAATGAGTCACCGTGGAGAAAACTTACTTACACCACCAGTACTAACTTGGCAGGATTACGTTCACAATCAGTCTACTGTTGCCCCTCCGACCCACTGGCGTGTCAGGCACTATGATACAGAAACACAGGTGAGAATGAATACTCTGAGGTACATGCAGCGAGCTCAGCCGATGACGGTCACCGTTGCTCCAAGCATACTTACAGATGTGGAGATTGAAACCAACCCATCAATTCCATATCCCACCTTAGAAGTCTTTATGGTGAAGCTTGACGATGAAGAGCCTGGACGACGATGGTCAGAGATCTTCCTCCCCCCACTGAGATGGATGGGAGTAAGGATGATTGATAACATGTGCATTGTATCACCCAAAAGCCTTGCAGGTTTTTTCAATCTGTCTCCTATCATGGTCATGGATTTTTACGTCCACATCATTGATGCTTTATTCGAGCTCCAGGCAAGGAAGATTACAACGCAAGAATTGGAGGTAAGAAAGTTCATATTGCAGGAAGCTCTGTGCGCTGAGTCAGGATGTCAGTACAATGATGTAGACTAGTCTAAGCATCTATCAATTAAATGTAAGAATTGTAAAGTATGAGATCTCCCAGCAATAAGTCAGATGTGATGCAGATGAATCTAGGAAGCAAATTAAGTCATTTCTGCAGCGGCAAGCCCAAGTGTCATAATCCAGCTCACAGTTTGCAACGAATAGCCTTCAAGGTGTGAGTCAGAGGCAGTCACTTTGGAGTCTGGAGGCACCTCAGCAGTACAGACCGCTGGGTGGTTAAGGTGCAGGAGAAGGGCCATGGTGTGGGAGGTAAGACTCAGCAGTACATACCACTGAGCCCGTGTCCTACGCTGAGGATTGAGTCATCGACGTCAAGTAGGGCATTGGAACTTGGCACTGGCAGCTAGTGTTGCTGATCACGTGTTTATGTTCTCACAGTTCAGAGCCTGCATCCCGGCCGAAGTACTGGTTTAATGAGCAGCGCCTTGAAACAATTTTCATTGATTCAACTTTTACTATAGTATCTAAATGTATTGTGCAGTAGTGACCTTCTCTTTCAGTCATCGGTGAACGTTTCCATTGACTTTCGACGGAACGGCTTGCTGGTGAGTTCAAAATAAGGTTCAAAGCTTACATAATATGTTACATCTCTGTTCGCCCACATTTCAGTTGATCGCAAAGCACAACACTTTCCTTTGGCATTCTCCAACTCCAGCCTGAGTGCCCAGCCCAACATGAATCATAAGCTTCATGTCTTCATGCACGAAGGACGACTTTTTACATCCGTCAACACATCCTCGCCCCCTGCCACGATCCCTCCTATCCCGCGACCCTGTAATCCAGCACTGGAATATGATTCTTCCTCAGATAACATTAAATATGTATTGACTACACAGTGGGCATATGAAACGCGCCCATAGTTCCCTCCCATCCCCATAAACCCTGTTTTCGATGGTGCTGTCTTCAGTTGCCTCAATCATTCGTTCTACTCCTTACCCATAGAGTCTACAGCAGATGGCCGCTATATTTTGCGTAGAGATGTCAGAAAACAATGGGAGACTTTTAGAGCATAAGTTACTCTGGTGCCAGGGACGTTTAGCAATGAATATGCACTTTCCTTGGTATGGCCAATTTCCACGAGCACCACAAGACTACAGGTACTTAAGGTCCCATGTTGATGTGACACTTGCCAAGAAAGTTGCTTTGAGATCACACGACGCATTCTTAGGTATGAGCTTCGAGTTTTTCATATGCGTTGATTATCTGGACTCATCATGTGTGTTCTCAGGTATCTCAGCTCTCTGCACATACTTTATCATGACTCGTCATTATAGGCCCCATAGGGAGGCTACCTGGATGTCTCTCTTAAATAATGATGCTCGATGTCCTATACCATCTACGTGGGTGGCTGAACTCTCCCGCACATTCGTTGGGGACGTCACAGATGTCGTACCACGCACTGGTGTGATTATAAACGGCGCCTACAGTCTGTCCTGGGACACAGATGTTCTCATGTTTGAACACTTTCACGTTCCAATCTGGGTATATTGGCCTCCCAATGTCGTACCCCATAAGACCTGGAACTGCTATATTCCCTCAGCAGAAGATGTTGCCGCAGCAACTGACACAAATTGGGGCGGCTCGCAGGGCAATGATCCATGGGGCATCCAGTTAGATGATAATCTGTGGGGTGTTCAGTCCAATAGTGATCCGTGGGGTGCTCAGTCTAACGGTGATCCAGGAGGCTCCCATTGGTTTAACGATGATCCATGGGGCTCCCAGTCAAACGAGCAGACCCCAGCATCCGCTGTGCAAACCCAGCCAGATCTATCTTGTTTTCTGCTTCCCCATAGACATAGTAGGCAGAAGCATGCTGAAGATTTGGAAGTGTTCTTTGCCCGCCGTGCCATGCAGAACAAGAAGAGGGAGGAGAAGGAGACGCCCTCACAAAAACAAGCACGTCTGAGTCGCGAATGTTCAGTGGAGAACCACAGAATTCCTGGGAAGTCCAGCACAATTCAAGTGTTTGAATGGCAGCCTCAAGATGAATACAATGGCTTCATGTTGCGCACCCACATCACAAAGGCTGGAGTACAGGACGTCTGGGGGGACTACAACAAGTTTACCAGGATTTTCGACTCCTTCTCCAATCAGTGGAACTTGTGTCTCGCCCTTAACCCAACTAGCATGCCTGACGGTGACGACCAAGAAGATGACGATGACATCATGCCTCCGCTGCCTAAAACTGCCCCTCTTGATGTTCCACCTCTGGCCCCTTCCAGTTTCTTGAATGATATATACACATACTTTGGCAGTAATGTTTCACTTTCATTGAGGCACAAGGATATTGAAGGACTTGCCCCCATCTTGCATTACTACTTTGGATATCGACCTACGGCGCCTAGTTCTGCTCCCCTGTATGCATCCATGCAGTTAAATGAGTGGATTAAAAAGACCAATTGGGATCACCTTTGCAAGCTGCTTGGTGATTCGGCTGCAGAAACAGGCTCGATCACAGAGCCACAATGCCAAAGCATCACAATTTTCATTGTGTATCTGGTGAACTTGAAGGAGTCTGACTTGGGCACCATCCCACCTGATGTTTGGGATCTCGGACCCGACCCATCTCTACAAATCACACATGCTCATATCCGAATCTCTTATGCAAATCTATCGCAACGTCGGTATTATATAATCGAGCCCCGTCAGTCCCCAAATCTTGTTGTCTGGACATTGGCCATTCCCAACCCCATCACTGCTGTGATGTGCTTGCGATGTAGCTGGGGTTCAGACATAAACCAGATTGCGCTTGCTCTCCTGAAAAGAGGTATAGCATTCAGGACCCTGCAGCAGATGGCTGGTGCGCCCAACTTTCGCCGTCCCCTTACTGAACTTCGCACACACACTTTGGGGCATCAACCATTGTCTTTCCAAGCTACATACGCAGATTATGTCATATATGAACAGCTACGCCACGAGTTCATGAACTGGCCTCGAGCAAGGGCTGCGTTCCTGCATGGGGGACTCGTCTGGCAGTTGGCTTTGCATAGCCTTGGTTTCCACCACCTTCCATCCGTCCTTGAAGGTATTTCGACAGAAGCTGTTCCATTTGGCAACCTGTTAGTGGGGAACGGGTCGACTTACTACGACGATGGGTTGCCGGACAAAGAAATTGATTTCATATGTGGAACGTACTACATAGACCGACATCAGCTTTCCCTTACACAGATTAATTGAAGTTGTCCTGACTTATACTCGCGCTTTCTAGCTCATGGCACATCAGATGTGGTCTCCTGGTGGTCCTGGCCCAACACTTGGGATGCCTTGGGCTTAAATGTCGGTTTCTGGTCTGCTCGTTGTGAAGATTGGTTTCAACGACGTCTTGACAACATCTGAGAAGGGGTTTCCCGCATGCGGCATTCATGTACCAGTGACACCAATGGTCCAATGACCACCACTCAATGGAAGCGCTCACTTAAGTTTAACCCTGGTACCAGCAAGATGATGCACAACACTTCAATAATATACTATGATTTCCTGACAAGAGCATCAGGGAAGAGTAGTATAACTTGAATTTGGCAAACTGCTTCATTCTGACCTCATGATTTAGTATGGACTGAGACATGGTTGGTGCCATTGCGTCACTCACTATCATAAATCTGATCTTTTCCATCAGACACGGTGCAATCATGGAGTACCGAGATTGAGACTAGCCATGCCATCGTTGTGCCCGAGTCATGCATGTATCCCCAAGCAGTGCTGAAACACTTGCTCCACTGTATCCCGTATTATCCCATCATGTATAAACTGTGTAACAAAGTTTGCGCAATGACATCAAATTCAATATTACTACTAGGTTGAGCACACTGACCCCGACTCCAAGTCTCAGCCAATGTCGCCCGTCATGTTGCATTTACCACATGAGATTGAAAGAGCAATATTTCAACTTGCCGCAGGCGTTCACTCTACCAGTCATTTACTCTCATATCTATTGGTCGCTGAAAGAGTTCGACATTGGTACGTACTGGCAGCATTTAAACCGCAGATTTCTGACTCAGAAGATGCATAGGATCGAAGAGGTGATGTATCGCACTGTCATCTTCACCAGCGAAGCACAAGCATGCCGCTTCATCAAGTCTCAACCTGTGGCTTCTGCAAAAGTCAAATCACTCTGTCTTGGTAGTACATTGCATGTTGTGACAGCGGTAGATGTCATGGAGCTGTGCAGTCACATTGATGACCTTGCCCTCTGGATTTTACCTGAAGGAGATACCCCTGGGGTGCCAGCTCGCCTCTTGAATGCCTTAAACAGGCTCCCAAAGTTGTTGCAGCTGTCCATTCGTGTATCAACTGTCTTCTGCAAAACTGCAGTGCCGTTTCTGCCATCCATGCCTCTGTTCAAAAAAATCACTCACCTTGAGTTGCTGGAGGGTTGGGTGCTTTGGAGTTTTCCTGTCGGCATACATTATCTGACACAACTTACGCATCTTTCCCTTCGAGTGGTCACCCACCAGACAGCGCCGGCATCACTCTGCATGATTCTCATGGATTGTGTTTACCTTCGAGTATTGATTTTGTGCATAATAGAGGGAGTGGATGATGTAGAGAAATGGCTGAAAGATGAAGGTTTTGATGATCCTCGCATTGTTGTTACAACCATGACCCCTCATCACTCCTGGGTGAACTCCAAGTTGGGCCTTGATGATGGGAGTCTATGGCAGCACAGAGATAATATTCTGAAGCATCGAAACCGTACTACATGCTGACATGTAACAATAGTATCCTGAGGTGAAACCTCATACTGCAAAGAGTATATTCACATTTTCACAACCACAACTCATATACAAATTCATAACAAAACAGTGAAACTATGTCTCATCAAGTACAGGTGAATGAGTCAGCAAGACAGTGTCCTGGCAATAGGCAAACATGCCCAGAACACCATTCGAACGAAAATCAGTATAGTTGGCCATTGACTCTCAAAAAAACTCACACCAAATTTCAAGTTGTCAGTAGTCTGCCTTTCCAGTATTTCTGTCATGATCGTCGGTAAAGCTATGTGCAGCCAATAATTATTCCGCAGGCCATTCACATCCTGCAGCATGGGTGACAGAGCCACGCAAGAACAGGACAAAATACAATGTATGCACTGTCGTACAAAGACTGATTGAACTTGAAGTGGTAGAGAGAAAGGCGGGCGATGAAGCATGACACGACAGTAGGTACCATCGCATCAGCTTGCCAGTGAGATCCAAATCGATGAAAGACTTGAACAAATTGAAGGAAGCGTGACCTGGCAAGTTGAAGTTGAAGTAGAAGTAGAACAGATACGACAGTACATACCGTCGTGTAGTAGATGAGTCCATGCCCGAAGAGCGAGTTCAAGTCTGAATTCAAGTTCAAGTTACGCCAGGGGATAACATCACGTGACCAATATCATGCACGTCATATGCGTGTTGCAACTTGTCATTGATGCATCAATTTGAGGATGGCATCAATTCAGATACAGACATGGAAAGATTCTGTATCAATTGAGCGAGGGAAAATGAACTTAGTTGTGCTAGTCTGTAAACTGCTTACCAAAATAATCATGGAGTGCGCATTAGTCGGGTCTCAACATTCGAGTCATGAGAATTCAAGTTAGCCACACACAGTTCCACAATCTTGGTACATCTACTCACGTACGTACTTATGAAAAACACCTGATTATTTTACGAAGGCTAGATCACAGCTCCTGTACAACTAGGGTTCGGCGTCAAGTAGTAGATGAGTCTATGCCCAAAGTCCGAGTTCAAGTCCGAATTAACGTTCAAGTTACGCCAAGGGATAGCATCACGTGACCAATATTGCAACGACACATCAATTTGAGGATGGCGTCAATTCAGATACAGACATGAAGATTCTGTGTCAATTGAGCAAGGGAAAATGAACTCAGTTGTACTAGTCTATAGACTGCTTACCAACATAACCATGGAGTCGGGTCCCAACATTTGTGTTACAACCGCTCTACTTTCTTTACTGCTTACGTGTCCACCATTATGCCTTACGCTCTTACCTTTCCTTTCTTGGTCTTACTTCCGTATTTGACCTTTGTACTATTATCTCACCGTAGCCTTGGTCCGTGCGCATATAGTCTCCTATTTAAGCACGTGTACTTTACTTAGAAACGTCACTTCAATCTTACTAGGTTTTATCCTGATAACTTCCTTCGCTTAAGACCACCAATCTTAAGTCGTCTGAACCGATCTATTAGCCAAAGCACTCCTTTGACTAAGTCTACGAACCTCTTCTTATTTGAAGAGCTACACTTGATCTCAACAACGTGAACGCTCTGTCGAGCCTTTGTTGTTAAGAACTATCCTAGTTCGTAACAAAAGATTGAAGTCCAGAAAGACACCTATATCCATACGTGTCAAAGAAACCCCGAAACCAGAACAGAAAGATCCTGACTAAGCAAGACAGCTAGTGCAGGCGAAGAAAAAGGCGACAACCTGACTTCACTCACCCCCACCTTCCAAGCCCTGAACCTCGGTACTCCTGTACCATCGTTGAACATGTCGGCCTCATCCAAGATAACAGAATTCAAGATCAACCATCCTCCTACATTCGATGGCGACAGAGACAAGTCCAAGTCATTCATGCTCTCATGCAATGCTTACATTGATATCAACTCGGAAATCTATAAAACCGACACTCAGAAAGTGATCTTTATCTCCTCGTTCATGAACGAAGGAAACGCTAGATCATGGAAAGAAGAATTCCTCGCAGATGCCCAATTCATCGACTCAACCGGACAAAAGAAGGGCTATGGAACCTTGAAAGAGTTTAACGAAAGCTTTGACAAAGCCTTCGGACCGATTGACCCATCCGGGACCGCATTAGCATGACTCCTGGAATTAAAGCAAGGCCCAGAAGGCCTGCAGACGTACATTGCAGACTTCAAAAGGCTGCTTGCCCAAGCAAAGATCAAAGAAGAACATATGATGATCTATCATTTCGAGAACGGCCTCAACGGAGGACTTCTAACCAAGATGTTCAACGCAGGAGGGGTACCCAAGAACCTCGATGACTACATCGCCGCAGTAGTCGATCTGGATAATTGCTATGCAAGGTTGCAAGCTCGGAGAAACAGATTTCCTTCCCGACAAATCCAGAAGAAGAACGGTCGCGGAGATCAAAGATTTATCCCCGCCAGAGATAGGGATGCCATGGTTATTGATCGAATCACCGACGAAGCCAAGCAAGAATACATGAGGACTGGAAAATGTTTCAACTGTCACCAGATCGGACATCGGGCACGGGAATGCCCGCAGAAGAAGAAAGCCCCTTACCCAGCAGTGAGGAAGGTAGAGGAAGAAGAAGAAGCCAGAAGAATTGATGAGGATTTTTAAACAGGAGACCTATATCGACGATAGCATCTCCAGCGAAACCTGTACGCCTAATACGAACAGTTGGTGAAAAGAAAGAACTTCGTATCCCCATAACCCTCGTATCCCGAACGCGTCAGAAAAATGTCGAAACCACCGCAGTAATTGACTCCGGAGCATCGGGAACCTATATCTCCGAGGATTTCGTAAAGAAACATAACATCGGAACCAAGAAACTCGAAAACCCCTTTTATATTAAAACCGCCGACGGAAGCTACTTCAGCAGCGGACCGGTAGAAAGGTACTGCACGCTGATCGTCCAAATCGACCAAAGGATGATGATAGGAAAATTCAACATTACCAAATTAGGAGAAAAGGACCAGATCCTACTAGGGATCCCCTGGCTTCGAGCCATGAACCCCGCTATAAATTGGACCAAACAAACGGTATCCCTTCCAGCAACAGAAAAATCCGCCGAAATCGAGAAGTATGTCAAGCAAACCTCTCGACCACAGAAAACCTTCTTCACCAAGAAGTTCAATACTAAAGAAGATGCTTGGAGTACGTCACCATCATCCCTAACCGAACTTACGGACGAAGGGGAATATCTCCGACAAGTCGAAGAATCTTCCAAGTTTAGTAACAAAGCACAAGAATTCGCCTCTGAAGAAAAAGAAAAGAAGAAAAAACTTTTGAAGAATTGGTACCGAAGTATCTCCACAATTTCGCTGATGTATTCGCGAAAAACGGCTTGAACGAACTACCCCCCGAAAGACCCGGTATCGACCATCGTATCGAAACAAAACCCGGATTTATTCCCAAGACGTCAAAAATTTACCCTCTTTCCTACAACGAACGAGGTGCAGTAAAAAGATTTATTGAGGAAAACCTTGCCAAAGGGTTCATCACGAAATCTAAATCCCCGCAAGCAAGCGGATTCTTTTTCGTAGGGAAGAAAAGCGGAGAACTCCGACCATGCCAGGACTACCGCTTTTTGAATGACCAGACCATCAAAAACGCATATCCCCTGCCACTCCCATCATCTTTGGTTGAAAGGTTACATGGCGCAAAGATATTCACAAAAATTGACATTCGATCCGGATACAATAACATTCGGATTCATCCGGATGACAGGTGGAAAGCCGCGTTCATCACGGAAGAAGGACTGTTCGAACCCACGGTCATGTTTTTCGGATTATGCAATTCCCCCGCCACTTTCCAAGCGTATATGAACGATACGTTCAGAGCTGAACTCAACGAAGGATGGCTCGTCATCTATATGGACGATATGCTTATCTTCTCCGAAACAACCACCGAACACCAACGACGAACCTGCATTATTCTAAACAAACTTCGAAAAGAAAAATTATTTGTTAAACCGGAGAAATGCACGTTCGATGCGGAAGAAGTGGAGTACCTTGGAATGATTATCAAACCTGGAAGTGTGGAAATGGATAAAGGGAAGACGGCAGGCATCAAAGATTGGCCCACCCCTGAAACAGTAAAAGATGTTCGATCCTTTTTGGGCTTTTGTAACTTCTACCGAACCTTCGTTTCCCACTACTCGGATATAGCTCGACCCCTTATCGACCTAACAAAGAAGAACGTCTCATTCTCTTGGACGCCCCTGTGCCAGCAAACGTTCGAGAAGCTAAAGGAATGCTTCACTTCTCACCCTGTTCTTCAGAACCCTGATCCCCACCATCAATTCGCCATCGCTACGGACGCTTCTCTTGTCGCATCAGGAGGAGTGTTGCTGCAGACCGACACTAATGGTGTCTATCACCCGTGTGCATACCTATCGCAGTCGTTCAATCCGGCTGAACGGAATTACCCCATTCATGATCGCGAGCTGTTGGCTATTATCCGCGCCCTCACTCATTGGCGACACTACCTCGAAGGACATCCGCAACCGGTTATTGTGTTCACTGATCATATGAACCTCCTCTATTTTGCGAAAGCAGAACGCCTGTCCAGAAGACAGGCCAGATGGCAACTACTCCTCACTTCTTTCGACCTACAGTTATATCACGTCCCCGGCACAAAATTAGCAGTTCCAGATGCCCTTTCTCGTCGGCCGGACCACGGCGACGGATCAGGAGATAATGCTGATGCCGTCCTCCTTCCTGATTCCATGTTTATCCGACTAATCGATGACGAATTGCGAGTAGCTATTGCTTCCACCACACCCCTTGACGACCCCATCTTCTCTGCTGCGCAAGACGCCCTTGATGGCCTGTGTTTGCCCCCTATGAAATCTTCGCTTAGCGACTGGCGTATCGCTAATGATATTCTATCCTACAAAAATAGAGCTTATATTCCTCCCGCGCTTCGACCGCAGTTACTCCGGAAACATCATGATCACCCTTCCGCAGGACATCCCGGACGTTTTAAAACCGAGGAACTCGTCAAACGGGAAGCCTGGTGGCCCGGTATGGGCACTTATATCCGCAACTACGTCGATGGCTGCGCTACTTGCCAACAGATGAAGGTGGACACTCACCCTGTAACTCCACCCCTACACCCTATCAGTACTATGGCTACTCGCCCTTTTTCCCAGATCTCCGTCGATCTCATTACTGACCTCCCCGTTTCTTCTGGCTTCGATAGTGTCATGGTCGTGGTAGACCACGGACTTAGTAAGGGGGTGATCATTACTCCTTGCCATAAAACAATTACCTCGGAAGGAGTGGCGAAGCTATTTCTAAAACACGTTTTCAAAAGATTCGGTCTCCATGACAAAGTAATCTCCGATCGCGGACCTCAGTTCTTATCCAAATTCTCGATCGAACTTGCACGACTCCTAGATTATTCTTTAGCCCCCTCCACTGCTTATCACCCACAAACCGACGGACAGACCGAACGATTAAACCAGGAACTCGAAACATATCTTCGAATGTATTGCCAGAACAATCCTTCTGAATGGGTGGAGCATCTCCCCATGGCAGAATTTGTTCACAATCACAGGAGACACTCCGCAAAAGATGCATCCCCCTTCTTTATCATGATGGGATATGAGCCAAAAGCTCTCCCACACCTACTTCCGGAATCGGACGTTCCCGCTGCTGAGGAACGAGTCCGAATTCTTCAAAAGATAAGAGAAGAAGCCGTCTCTTGTCATAATATCGCTATGCAACGCATGGCGGAAAGATCCTTTGGACAGAAATACAAACCATGGAAAGTCGGAGATAAGGTATGGCTGTCCACTGCCAATTTAAGACTAAAGCTCCCTTCCCGGAAACTGGCACCCAAGAGATACGGCCCGTTCACTATCACAGCCGTACTATCCGCTATCACGTTTACGCTCCAGTTACCACCGCAATGGAAGATCCACCCTACATTCCACGCTTCGCAACTATCTTCCTATCGCGAAAATGACGTACACGGTCCGAACTTCTTGGAACCACCACCTGATATTCTCGAAGAAGAAGAAGAATATGAAATAGAAGCAATCCTCGCACATAAAGGAAATGGGAATCGCCGTCGATATCTCGTATCTTGGAAGGGGTATTCTTCGGCTAGCAACGAGTGGATCCCCGAAAAGAATCTGGAAAATGCCGAAGAGACTCTTAGAGCCTATAAAGCCAGAAACGCGCTTTGAGATTACTCAGTACCTCGACGACATCGTCCTTACCCAAATACAAAACCTACAAACAGAATGCCCTTCCCCACATCCACCTACACGCTCCCATACCACTCCACCTTCGACACCACCACCCTTGACTCCAATGACGAACGATACGAAACGTTCATCACCCAAGCCGAAGACCTCACCCTCATCGAGGCAGCACTCCTCTGCCCCCAGCATGCTATTGAACTCACTAGAGTTCTCTTCGAAAGAAACGCCCATTCCATCAACCTCCTCATCAACATCATCCGAGCCACAGAAATCATCGAGCGAGTCTGTCGCCTTGTCGAAGACAACACAGTCCGTCACAGCCTTATGCATATGCAGAGGCGCATACGCAACTTTGCTTTGCGTCTTATTCCTGAGGAAGTTAAAGATGATATTAGAACGGTCATCCACGTCGTCGCAGAGCAAACCGCAGGAGTTGCTCGCCCGCCTTCTCCTTCGAACCCCGCAACCGCAGATGGAATCCCTCCTCCCTCTTATCAAGACGCCGTACCTACTCTTTCCGCTGACATTCCTAATGAGCTACTGGCTGCGGTCAATAATCTTGCGCAGACAACAGAAGCCATAATGGCGTCCCTCAGAGAAGAAAATCCCCAAGCAATTCCCGTCCCCGCTCCCGCCGTAGAAACCATCGAGCATCCTCCTCATCTTTATACTGCGTTTTCCGCCACCCGCGAAGAAATCGCTGCCGACCCGAATCATCAGTACCTCTCACACTACGAGGTGCAAGATCTAGCCAACGCACTGGCTACACTCCACATCCATCCCCCGCTCGTCATCCCGAACTCACTATCATCGCATACCTTTGCGGACGGGATCGTACCAATACAAGCGTTGGGAAGCACCCAACCTGCCACTCCTGCTGAGCTAATCGCGGAGGCAGAGCGACAAAATGTCGCTGCCCACCATCCTATACGACGAACCATTCCACCCAGAAGGAGAGTACGAGGTCAGCGTTCCCGTACTGATAAAGGGAAGAAACGCGCCACCAGCGCCGATGAAGCACTTAGCCCTAAACCGGGCCCGTCACCCTTACGAGCGACCTCCTCCAACCCCGATGAGAATCGCGTTTGCAGATACTGCAAGACGCTCGGGCATAGGCAAGTCCATTGTCCCGAATACTACTGCCGCGTCTGTCGAGAATTATCTCCAGGCCATCTTTCGTTTTACTGCCCACACTACACTGGGGAATCCCCCACTTCCTTAACCTGGAAGGACGAAGGGTTCTACCGAACCCTTGCACTCTGGGAGAATGATTTGGATGACGCGTATGCCGCTCAGTGCCGGGAAGAAGAAGCGCTCTATGAGTTAGAACGCATGAGAGACGGACCAGACGAAGGTCCAGACGCTCTAGATTACGACGACGATCCTACCTACTACGCTAACCAGGATGATTGAATCCGGTGGCTTCAACCCTAGTAAGGGGGTAATGTTACAACCGCTCTACTTTCTTTACTGCTTACGTGTCCACCATTATGCCTTACGCTCTTACCTTTCCTTTCTTGGTCTTACTTCCGTATTTGACCTTTGTACTATTATCTCACCGTAGCCTTGGTCCGTGCGCATATAGTCTCCTATTTAAGCACGTGTACTTTACTTAGAAACGTCACTTCAATCTTACTAGGTTTTATCCTGATAACTTCCTTCGCTTAAGACCACCAATCTTAAGTCGTCTGAACCGATCTATTAGCCAAAGCACTCCTTTGACTAAGTCTACGAACCTCTTCTTATTTGAAGAGCTACACTTGATCTCAACAACGTGAACGCTCTGTCGAGCCTTTGTTGTTAAGAACTATCCTAGTTCGTAACAATTTGAGTCATGAGAATTCAAGTTAGCCACACACAGTTCCACAATCTCGGTACATCTACTCACGTACATACTGATGCGAAAACACCTGATCATTTTATGGAGGTGAGATCAAAGCCCCTGCACAACTAGGGTTCAGCATCAATGTGCCAACTTTGAACTTTGTTCTGCATCGCACCCATTAATGCTGATTTGCTTTGATATCGATCGATAATTAATTATTTTTCTTGTGAGCATGAAGTGGCAGCGAGCACTGTCAGCGCCATTGTAATGGTATTGATAGTGATGCAAACGTTACATAGCAATCGTGATAATAGAACATACTGTACAACAACTTGAGAGCATGTGTGGGATGTTGCAAAATTCGATCTGCTCAGATTTAAGTGTATGAGTGATGACTAGAACAGATGTTCTCTTTATCTTCATCATCAAAAAGGAAACAAGCCCATTTCCTACCCTTTGGGCCTGTCTACGTACTGTGGCTTGATCATTCTTTTGCTTCATCCAGGCGATCTGCTCACAAAACAGTGAGGCAGCACCTGTTGACATGCCAATTGTATGGACATAAAATTGACAATCAAATTTGACTGCAGCCGCTAGGTAAGCGATGCCATCACGATAAAGAGGTTCCTGATATTGGTAGAAGTCCAACGCAGGGAACCGGCCATTGAGCCTATTGAGGACATCCGCAATTGTCATCTCAGGCTCATCATCAGATTCCTCATCTGAGTCGAGGTACATTGCATACTCGTGCTTGAGTCCGGGGCACATTTGATGATGTTTGTGAGCTGGGCTACAGATGCCCTGGTTATACATGATAGGGCTCGGTGTGGTAAGCGGTTCAGTTGACGTGCAGGAGAAGGATGGTGTGCGTGATTTCTGCATCTTGGATATTTTATAGAGATCTAAGGGAGTGGGACTCCAAGTCAGACTCGGAGGTGTGATGCAACCTTTGCCTGCCTTCAATTTTCGTGAGGGATAGTTGTATTCTGCTAGAATGTGGACTCACATTGTGCTTGGGCTCCTCCAATTCAAGCGACTTAATTCAAACCCTATCCTGGGGGTTCATAGAGGAGACTGAGTCAGACATAGTATGTGGCGAGATGAGTCAGACCCACCTAAGTCCCTTCTAAGTTATAACTTTAGACTACAGAGCTATGACGAACATAGTACGCGATGAGGAGTATGACGAAACTCAACGCCAAGTATGCTGATAAAACGAACTACTCACGCATGAAAAAATTTCGCCTCCAGTCGATTCCAAAATGCTACTAGTATCTGATTTGGAATAAATAATGGCAATGATCGCACAGGCATTATAAAGTTTTGGTGGGGTTGCCGGCCGAGGGACTAAAGTGGCAGGCTAGTCACAGTGACTGAGCAGTACATACTGCTCAGCGCTAAGTTACTGAGGAGACCTCCGTGGTCTGGGAGGCACCTCTCAGCGGTACATACCGCTGAAAGGTAGAGGCAGTTTAGCACGGGGAATGACCTGATATGGCAATGGGAGCTAAGATTCAGCAGCACATGCTGAGAGGAGACGGTAGCAGTTTAAGTTATGGTGCAGTTGCATTTCGAAAGTCAGATCAGACCTGCCTTATTTGGACAAATTCCCACGCTGATAGTACCCAGTCTATTCTGTGATTGTAAGCCTTGCTCGTACTTAAACATACCTTCATCAATCTCCTCCCCCTGACATGACGGTTGTACTGTCGCGTTTATCACCCCTTTTATCACCCCCTCCCACATTTGGGCCCTAACATGATGAGGATCTGACACGATGTATAGTACGTCACCTTCGTGTTGGCAGACTTACATTAGTTCTTGCCAGTAGCATGCATGAGCCGCGCTTTGGCATGGCTTTGAGTAATGACCATGGCAACCTGTTGTCATTCAAGTTGCTGTTAAGGCGTAACTAATATCGTTAAATTAGCTCTAAGTGCGGCAATGGAAACTTCGCCAACAGTGGAGGTAATATTTGAGATCTTGAGAGTTCAAGTTTGACATAACATTTAGAAAAATTTTGGGCGCAGCTTGGCCGAGGCTGGCCATGGAGCTTACACAGATTGTTATAGGCTAGGCTGTTTGCTGCCGCTGATCCACTTATGCTCCACTGCACAGCAGGTAAGTGTTATGTTACTTCATACTATTAACTTCGATGGCTTGTAATAGGAGTCAGGGACTGGCTCACATGCGCCACTACTTGAAGCTTGAATATGTAAACACCGCTACATAATAAGCTCACATCCGCAAGGTGAACTTAGCACCATGGAGTCAAGAAGGTTTGGGAAACTTTTGGCAGTTCGATGTCTTAACTTGCATCCGAACAATGCATGTGTGCCAACATTTAATTGTGCGCCCCTCCAAGATGGGAAATTGGAGTTATTCCTTGAAGTCGAAACCATTCAATTGTTATCGATTTCGGGGCTAGAATAACGCCAATGATCTTGAGTTTGAAATCTGAGGGCCAGCATGTATCCTGAAACATTCAAGCGAACGTTCTCGAGTCACATATATCACTGGGCTACGCTTTGAGCCTTGATCCAATCTGACTCATTGCTGCCCTTGTGACTTTGCATAGTACCGTTCTTCTGAAGTCCCTAACCCTAATGATTAGATAAGCAGGTAAGCGCGGCTTCTCCCTGCTTGTTCAGCCTTCAGTCCAATGCCATCATCATGTTCCCTACAGTCCCCATCAACAGCAGCAGATATTCCCCTGTTTTATGCAATAGCTCACAAAGCAATTCTGTTGAACCATTTCATGGCAAGCGTCCCTCGACCAAATCAGCCACCTCATCAGGTCGTTTTGCGATCAAGGTTACAAGCCCTGTAATGCAACCCATAACCTCAGAGCCATTGGGAGAGGCCACTGGAATTTCGACTACACCTCATACTGCTGGGCATCCATCAGTTCCTTTGAAACATCATCCTGGTGAAGTGCTAGGTAAGCTGTTGCATCTCATCCTCATCATTCCAGCTGACCATCTTCAAGCTCAATGCGACCTGGTGCTCGATTTCATCCTCCAGAAGCCTTGTGAAAAATACTCCAAAGTACATAGTTCGAATCACGACCCAATCGGTAAAGCTGACTATCGCATCAGGTGTTTTCCCGTGTAACGCCCTACCACTACAACACCATACTGCACGCAGTAGAAAAGCTTGCAGGAAAACCGAGGTGAGCCGACCATCATGACTTATCACACGTCATAACTGATCGTCCATGCGTATAGATTATTCTACAACTACGAAAATTTTCAACTTGAGGTCGAAATGCCCTCATGCATCCATGATTCCATCGTGAATGTCATCCGATGTGGCCTGGAATCTGTGGATAAAATGCTACATGATCTTATCATCGGACAACTCATACATACCGAAGTACACCCTAGCTTAACATTGAACACTGGAAAGAAGGAATTCGTTCCAGACTGTGTTCACATCGTCACCGCCCGCAGCAATCCCCCCGTTAGGAAGATCCCCTCCCTGGTTGAAGTAGCGTACTCGCAAGCGGAGACCCCACTTCTGGGCAGGTTCTGAAGTGCCGTCAAAGCCTATCCGGAGCTGGCGATGATTTTGATGGTTGTAATCAATGAGATCCCTGCCTATGAGTCGCCTGAATGCCTGAGTCACACATGGAGAGAGTTACCTCCGAAAGCCAATGGGCACTTACACTCAGAAACTAGCTTCCTTTCCATGTGAGCTGAACCGTGGTCTCAGGATGAGCCCACTCCTGTTATAGTGGGAAATTACTCCTGGTGCTCAATCTCCAACATTCAAGTCCAGGTATGGATCCGAGGGTGCAAGAGCCCGATTAACATAGATAGAAAGGACAGTTGCTTGACAGCCTGCGGAGTACATTATACATACACTATTAGTATGTTTTACTCTGATTACTGAACATTTTTGATAGACTTTGTATCCCGTCAATGCAGATAATGCAGCATCAATGGACGATGTGACATTGATGATTATGCAAGGGCTTTCCCTTACAAGGGACTGCTTTGTAGAGCAGTGCCGCCATGCAGATCCAAGCGCCAATGTTTCTGCTCTTCGCGCTGCTCAATTTACCCTTCCCTTCAAGTGGGCAGACATTCTAGATGGGCTTATATATGCGATGCCCACAACTGCTCATGACTGGTACTGAACCTGGTACTACAATTTAGGGAACACGATCGACACCAGCACGATAGGAGTAAAACGCACAGCAGCCGAGGCCAAGATTGACTCGGATACGGATGATGAACGTCCAGTGGCGAACGTTCGCGCACGCACTCAAAGTAGAATCAACACTCGTGCTGCTGCTCATTCAATGAGCTATGGGTAAAGAGCTTCGTTGCATATTTTCACTGCCATGTAAATAATAACATCTTGTGCTGTACTAGTTGTTTTTGTATGATGTTCAACTCAGATGTAATCTATGTACTCGTGGGGATTGCATGAACAGTGTCATTCTTTTACTGGCGAGGACTTCCGAGTGGGACTCGAGTGAATTCCAACGACTCGTTAACTCACGAACAATGCAGGAGGACACATCACATGGCATCAGCGGTGAAAAAAGTAAATATCATTGATTTATGGTACTCTATACCACATAGTTACGAGTTGCTGGTCGAGTTGTAGAAATGTGCGTCTCATAGATTCGTATCGTAAGTACTGTATGGCCGATAATGCGCATAGATCGATGGCACGGCATCTCCCATCCAGTTGATAAAGCTAGCATTATAAACGATCTGAGACATCCGACGTGAATCGCGACTGGCATGTGCATCAGGTTTGAGCATAGTAGGCGCAAGCAATGGCGATGATGAAGATGTCGTGTTTTGGCCACTGATGGGGGCTTGACCAAAAGATGACACGACAGTACATACCGTCGTGTCAGATAATGCTATAGCAAGGAGGAGGAAAGCAAATCCACGAGAGGCAAGACAGGTGGGGGAAACGAAGGAGAGCGAGCTGCCTATAAAGCGAGCGAAGTGCAGCTGTAGGCAAGCCTAGAAAGGGTGAGTAGCAAGAGGAAGGAGAGCAGATGTGCAACAGTACAAACTGTTGCACGCCTGTGAGGGTGCCAGACCTCAGGGTACAGTCTACTACAGTGTGAGATTAGCCAGTGAGTCGGATGCTAAAACTATACATCACGTTATCCTGAGAATCCGCTTCCAGATCCATCTCCCTTAGTCATCACACTCGACTCGAAGTCCTTCACCATGACCTTCACTATACTTATAGGACCCTTATCTGACACTACGGTATGTACTGTCATGTCATCCTTTGGTTGCGTGCTTCCCCCTCCCAGCTTCAGCCTTATCTGACATGGCGGTATGTACTGCCATGTGATCCCTTGGTCGCCCGCTTCCCCCTCCTGACTTTCCGCCCTCACAGGCGTGCAATGGTTCTTATTGTTGCATGTCTGCTCTCCTCCCCCTTGCTACTTGCCCTTTCTCCCGCTTCCCCCTCCCGGCTTCAGCCTTATCTGACATGGCGGTATGTATTTCCATGTGATCCCTTGGTCGCCCGCTTCCCCCTCCTGACTTTCTGCCCTCACAGGCATGCAGTGGTTTTTATCGTCTGCTCTCCTCCCTCTCGCTACTCGCCCTTTCTCCCGCTTCCTCCTCCCGCTTCAGCCTTATCTGACATGGCGGTATGTACTGCCATGTCATTCCTTGGTCGCCCACTTCCCCCTCCCAGCTTCAGCCTTATCTGACATGGCGGTATGCACTGCCATGTCATCCCTTGGTCACTCACTTCCCCCTCCCGGCTTCAGCCTTATCTGACATGGCGGTATGTACTGCCATGTTATCCCTTGGTCGCTCGCTTCCCCCTCCTGATTTTCCACCATCACAGGTGTGCAACGGTTTTTAGTGTTGCACGTCTGCTCTCCTCCTCCTCGCTACTCACCCTTTCTAGGCCTGCATACAGCCGTACTTTGCTCGCTTCATAGTAGGCAGCTCGCCCTCTCCACCTGCCTTGCACCTCGTGGAATCCCAACCTCCATGTCTTCGTCGATGAAGGACGAGTTTTCACATCGCTCAGTTCATTCTTGCTCTTTGCCACGATCCCTCCTGGAATGCTCAATTGGAGTCTTCGCAAAAAGTGGTCCGGGCGTCATATGTATACTATACATGTAGTATGAGCAAAGCGAATTACCTCCTACTGCCAGCGTCAGCGATTATGTCATTGGAGCTGGCTGTCCAAGTGGGGGTTTCCTGATGTCATATGATAGGTAACACCGTCTGCTCACTCCTTAAAACATCTTCTGATCATTGTGCTTCAGAAATGATTCATTTGACATGAACTTTACCCGAACGACCCTTTACGCACTTCTATATCTCGCTATCTGTGTACATCTTTTGGTCATGGTTGGTCACCGCCAATGGTGATGTGGACCACCATGCACTCGTGGATTCTCTGATAGCTCAGCACTCGGTCGACACCGTAGTGCTTGTGAGTATTACAAGCATCATTTGAATTTACAGGCCCAGCATTTCAAAAGAGCTGGTGAAGACCCCAAGCCTGGTAGGGCTTTCAAGAAGATGAAACCTTCACTTGACAGTACTAGCGACGCCATCCAGGTCAGTACTAGTAGTGTTGTGCACTCTTATCTAGCCTGATCACATTCAAGATTGCACCCAGCCGTAGACTGGAACCATCAAATAACTCGGATATAACCATTAATCATATGCCCTTGGCACCAAACCAAACCCACCTCACGACTCCCTCCCCATCTCATGATATTGTGGTTGATCATAATCCTCCAGTCCCTCCTGACGTTGACGACTGCAGTCGCAACGATTCACACCGGATGCGTCGACGACGACTTCCATTCAACAAATTTGGTATTACTCGAGAGTATTGTCATCGACCCTCATACAACCCTGATGAATTTGTATCAGCTGACCAACTTTGCAATATACGTCCCTGTGACCTTGGCGCAGATGGGATGCAGGATGGTGAGGCCCTGTCCGGTTATCCCTCTGCACGTCAACCGCCTTGGCCCTGGAAAAACATGTCAATCTGGAGGCTGATGTCCTGGATGATGACTGGAAGTTCTCAGAAGTCACAGGCCGAAGCAACGCGTCTAGTAAAAGATGTAATACAAGCAGACGACTTTGATATCCATGATCTCAAGCATTTTGATGCCCACACTGAGATGAGGCGTTTCAATGCTGCTGAAGACAGTGCACCCAAAACGAGCCTTCTGGAAGGAGATGACTGGAAGCAAGCTGATGTGGAGATCATGGTGCCCTCAAAGGAGAAGAAACGCAATGGGAATGGGTGTCCGTTCTCTGTATCTGGTCTCTTCTACCGGCCGCTCATAGCAGTCATTCAAGCTGCATTCTCAGAACCTTCATCAAAATTGTTCCACTTAACGCCTTTCAGGCGCATTTGGAAATCACCTACCACTGGACGTGAGCAGCGGCTATACGACGAGCTTTACACATCAGATCCATGGATTCAGGCCCAGGACGAGATTCAAAAACAAAGAAGGGACGATGGTTGTCAACTGGAGAGGGTGGTGGCAGGTCTTATGTTCTGGTCTGACTCTGCTTGTCTTGCCCAGTTTGGGAGTGCATCGACTTGGCCACTATATCTTTTCTTCGGAAATATGTCGAAGTATGTTCGTTCACGACCCAACTCCGCCGCTTGCCATCCTGTGGCTTTCATTCCCATTGTGAGCTTTTTAAAAATCTCAATCCATAACAACTGGTTAATCTACTCTGTGTTTAGCTACCATCATCAATTAAGAGCTTTATAGGCACTTTTATCCAGAGAAAGAAATACAACGATGTGCTTACACATTGTAAGTGTGAGCTCTTCCATGGAGTTTGGCGCATCCTGCTCGATGATGATTTCATTCATGCGTACAAGAATGGGATCGTTATCAGATGTCATGATGGGGTGTATAGACACATTTTCCCTCGGATATTCACATATTCAGCAGATTATCCAGAAAAGTAAGCCTTCTTTCATTTTTATTTTATGACTATGTTTACTTATCACTATAGGGTTCTTCTGGCGACTATACGTGATAAAGGGAACTGCCCATGTCCTCATTGTCTGATGCCAAAATCTCAGTTTAATCGCATTGGATACCTGCAAGACCTATCGCAGAGAATGAAACAGCTACGCAAATATTTCACTGAAAAAGTGACCCAAGCCCGCAATGCAATTTACACATGTGGCGCTCCCATCAAAGGAGACTTAGTTGAGAGTATCCTGAAACCTTTTTCGTTGGTGCCTACAATTGTAAGCTCGATCTACTCATTGATGCGCTTAATGACCATCTCAATTTACCTCTAGAATAGCTTTGTGGATCGCCTCTCACCATTAGGTTTTAATTTTTTCCCGACCCTGGTTGTAGATCTGCTGCATGAGTTCGAGCTCGGAATAGTAAAGGTCGTGATGTCGCATTTAATGTGGTTGCTCTATGCTATTGACCCATGGAAGGTCGTCATCGTCGATGAGAGGTATGGTGTTCATGTCAGATGCACCAATGCTAGCCCTTGATGACATTCCAGTGCCAGGTTTCGGTCCATACCTTCATTCGGAAAGAGTTCCATTCGACGGTTCCCGATGAATGTCTCATCAATGAAACAGCAGGTAGCTCAACACTTTGAAGATATGCTTCAGGTATGTTCCAGTTTTAGTCAAGATTCGTACAGCTAACTGAATTATCACAGTGTGCGATACCAGCTTTTGAAGGACTTTTTCCAGACAAGCACGACGACGTCATCAGGGTTCTGCTCTTCCATATGGCTGAATGGCATGCATTGGCAAAAATGTGTCTGCATTCCGATGAAACTCTCGGTTTGCTTGAGAAATCACTTCGACGATTAGGAGCTCAACTCCAAAAGTTTAGCAAGTTTACCTGTTCAGCTTTTTGAACTTTTGAACTTCCGGGCGAGACAGCTGCACGTCACCGAAAGCAAAACCATACATCCGAATCCCAGCCCAGCATGAAAGCAGCTGGACCCCGACCAAAGTCATTCAACCTCTTCACCTACAAATTGCATGCTCTCGGCGACTACGTGCAATCAATAAAGGTATTTGGTACTACTGACTCGTACATGACTCAAATAGTCAGTACTCTACTCAAGAACACACGTCCATTCATGACTCACCTATGGTGCAGGGAGAATTGGCACATCGTGCGATCAAGAAATTCTACCAGATGACTAACAAAAAAGATGTATCAAAGCAGCTTGCATGGCATGAAAGGCGACAGACATGCTTAAGGCGGCAGCAGCAACTTCAAACTGAGGAACCTGCCATGTCGTCACCAGAGCTTCACCACCACCTATCAGACTCGTGGGCCAATAGTGTTAATCTTGCAGCTTTCCTCAGCAATAATTTGGGTAATCCCGCACTCAAGGTAAGCCTTGATCTTTCATGCGGATCATCTGATAGATAATATTACAGGACTTCATCCTCAAACTCAAAAACCACCTACTATCTCGTGTGCTAGGTTATGAATATGATGGCGATGAGCGCCAATTCTCAGACTCAGAGAGGAATGACCTGCGTTTTATCAACAATCTTTGTCTGGTTCGACAACCATGTCGGTTTCAGGTCAATTACACAACCTATGATGTGCGGCGCAATCAGGACTCCATGCGACCAGGATATAACTGCACCGTCATGACCCTATCAAGAGAAGAAGGCGACCACATTCACCCTTTTTGGTACACGCAGGTATTGCGAGCCTTTCATATTCAGGTTCTACATACTGGGCCACAAGCTTGAAACCATTCCCCTCAAACTTTGGAGGTACTCTGGGTTCAATGGCTCGGAGTGGATCCCGCCTATCAATGGGGCCTTAATGATGTGTGACTCCCCAGGGTTGGATTTGTCCCCACAACAGACAACAGTGCATTTGGCTTCCTTGATCCGTCATTTGTCATCTGTGGATGTCACCTTATTCCAGCCTTTGCGCAGGGGCGTTCCGATGCTCTTCTCAGGCATGGTCCTTCAGTTGCAAGATTTGGGCAGGAAGTCAACGACTGGGAATGCTTTTATGTGAACATGTAAGCCTGAGCGGCTGCCGTCTTTTTGTACTCTAACTATTTTGTTCTTAGCTTTGCAGACCGAGACATGTTTGCACGCTTTGCAGGTGTTGGTGTGGGACATGACATTCAATATAACTCTCCAGCCATCAGACGACATCGTAGTGAATACCTGGAGGATTGTGAATATGAGTCTGATGATGACAGTGATTCAACTGGTGATACTGCGATGGAGGATGACTCAGGGTCGGACGATGGAGGCGACAGTGACATTGTATGTGATGCAGCAGAAATGGATGTTGGAAGTGATGGCTGTGGCAGAGAATATTCTGGTGGGGAAGATGAAGAGTCAGGTTCTGACTCGGAGTTTGAGGACGATGTTGAGAACTGATACAGGTTTTAACTATAGTAACTGTGTCATTGAGGTAGGAGCAATGTTGGAGACTGAGGCCTGTGCCCGCTTGAATGAGAGGGCATCAGGGAAAGCCTTCCCCCCGAAATCGAGGTAATTTCCAGTAAATCCCTGGTTTTCCTTTGATTTTCAGCGAAATCATGTTTTACTGTTTTATTTAAGTCCGGTCATAGTTTCAACAAATTAGTTCGAATTCCAAGTGATTTCTTCTGAATACTAATGAATTAGTTCGAATTCACTCGTCGGTCATTGTCAAAATACACGAAAATCAACATTATATTGGATCAGAATGGCCTGTCAGTATGTACGAACGACTATCAAAATGTACAAAGTGAGATCAGTAATACATGGGTATCCGCGGGCGCACATGGCACAACAACCTTAGTTCAATCCTCGGACATTGCACTGAGATCGAGGTAGTCAAAGTTGCTCAGCGCACCAGATGGCAGCAACACATTGTCCGACACACTAACATAGTATGTTAATGGCAGGCATTCGATCAGAGGATGATGAAACGCACCAGACAGCCTTGTAAAGCCGTGCCATCAGCGCATGATACTTCTTTTTACCGCCTTCAAAGATCTGAGTGAGGGTTGCTTCATGGGCTTTGTAAACACTAATGTAGACAGTAGCATTGAATGATTTGACTTGAGAGCTCAACGGTGGATTGCCGCTCCTCCAGTCCATCAGTATGGCATAGATCTGCAACAACCGTCACATTTAGTAAGTATTCATCTAGAAAATACAAATAAAAAATGTACAACAGTTGCAATCAAGGCAACCATAGCTATGGGGAGCTCCGGCTCATCATTGCCATCTAAGACCGACACAAAATCTTCATGTGATTGAACTCCGATCGAGTTCTCGCCGTCGAACAATGACTGATGTAGCGTATCGATCATGGCCTCGTCGCAGAAAGGTTGATCACCAAGGACTTTACCCTGGGCAGTGACATCAATATCGACAATGAAACATGACACTAACCACTCACATTTTGGTTAGTCAGAAAAATATACTTGTGACTTTTCAGGAGCTCTTCGACCTCATTGGAACAACCTCTCCGAAGTGCGAATCGAGACACAACGATTTGATGAGCGAGCTTTTTGATACCAGTGCGGAAAGCACTAAGCCGTCCCTCAGGCTTCAAGCAAGAGCATCAGTGTCGAGTTCATACCAAAAACAAACACGAACAATACTAGCAAGAGCAACTGCAAAGTCAGTGTCGTGTTTAAGCCTCTTCAATATAGCCCTTTCTTTATGCTTGTAGGCAGCGTTACTGACTGCTTGCATAGCCATGGTTCGTTTCTCGGTGATAGTAGGGAATGCATTCTCGAAGATAGCAGATTTCTTGAGTTCAAAGACAGCCGTCTTCAAAACCATCTGTACGCGTGTGTTCTGAGCCTTGAGGTTGATGGAGCCGTCTGCTTCGTAAACTAGATTAGTGAACTCAGGCCATTTGAAAGGCGCATAAGTGTTGGATGTGTCACGTGGTTCCGGTCTGGGGGTTGTGACAGCGATGGAATCATCTAAGTCATGTGACGGCTGTGCAAACTGTGGTCTCTACAAAGCAAAAATCAGAAATAATCGTGAATCGGGCCAGTGAAAGGGATTGTTAGGTCACCTCAATCTGTTGTCGTCCTTCGAGCTTGCTCCTTTTCTTCTTCTCGTCAGGCTCGCATTTGACCTTGACTGAGTCAGCTGTGACCGTGACGAGTTGGCCCGCCGGATCATCATCATCCCACGTTGATGCAGCGGCTGAACTATCACTGTAACGTGAAGCAAGGCGGGGTGGAACAAAACACGGAATCTGACATTGTACCAATTTGTAAGTGACTATCAGCTAGTAAATTTGAAATCTCATGCACCTCTTTCATTAGTACCTCATGAAGATTCTCCGGGGTTTTAGACAGTAAGTCTGAGATATCACTGTCATCTTCAACTTCCACATTGACATCTGACTTATTGGATTCAGAGTCGCTGATACCATATTCACTCGCAGAGTCGTCGGTGTCAACTGACACACCATTGTGACTCGTGAGAGTGGAAGCTACACCTATTTTAAGTTGAGTATCACTTCGACTCGGTTTTAAAGAGGCCACACATACTGCTTCTCTCATGACCACCACCTTCAACTGCTTTCTGTGTCTTTTCGACTGCTTTCAGTGTCTTCCTTACTGACTTTGTTGCAGGCGCAGACAGAAGCTCAGTCACCGTTGGTGCACGCTTGCGATTATTGCTGGTTGTATCATTCCAGACTGACATAGGTATGTAGCATAATTTTTTTTGCACAATATGGGTTTATGCGCTCACCTTTGCGCTCCAGTGCTTTTTTCTTTGAAGACCGTTGCAGCTCTTTGCGAGAATGTGAGTTTTTTTGGGTCTGATTATGACAGCCTCTGTACTCACTGCTATCTGGGATGTCATCAGCTATGTCTGGGGTTACGACCTCAGCGCCGGAAGACACTTGTCTCACCGCTACTTTCTCTTTCTTTTTAGCATTCCGCTTCTGAGCAGCTATCTCAGATGGACGGGGAGGCATTTTAAAAGGTGAATGAGTGTTTTCTCTTTTCAAAGAGTGTACTGCTATGAAATTGAATGATACAGGACGCTGAGGGTAAAAAGAATGTAGCGGTCAAGTTGGTGGGCAGTGTTAAAGAAAAAAGTTCATAGTCCGCTGAACTTTGCATGGGCAGGGTTGCAGGGTTGCGCTGGGGCAGGGTTGACAAAGTTCGTAGTCCGCTGAACTTTGCTTGAAGCTTTGTTTGTGGCTGTAGGTTGTCTTTGTTACGGCCCTTGTTTTTTTACCACCAGAATGATCTCAGTGGCCTTTCTCGTGTCAGTGGAACAGAACACAACCGAATCTGCCGCTTTTTGCTCGGTATCATCATTGATATCCGATTGCCTGGAAATCTTGACAGTGGTCGCCTTATTCGTGCTGTTCGTGCCATCCTCGACTTCCTTTACCTTGCTCAGTACCCTTGCCACACCGATCAAACTCTCGCGCTTCTCACTGAAGCCCTGACTCGCTTTCATGACAACAAAAGCATCTTTGTCGATCTCGGCATTCGAGCGAATTTCAACCTTCCAAAACTCCATTTCTTCCGTCATTATGTGCATATGATCAAACTATATGGCACGACTGACAACTACAACACCGAGTACACCGAACGCTTACATATTGATCTCGCAAAGGATGCTTACAGAGCTACTAACCATAAAGACGAATATACGCAAATGACACTCTGGCTTGAAAGACGCGAGAAGATGTTATGGCACAATAATTTCGTCCAATGGCGCCTTGCTGGCGATCCTCCTCCACAAGACAGGTTACCGCCCGACATGGACTATCGTCGCTCGATCAAGATGACGAAACACCCAACTATTAGACGTGTTCCACTGGATAGTGTAGTTCGCGACTATGGCGCCACTTTTTTCACCGAAGCATTAGCTCGTTATGTCGTTCGCACAAATCAACCTGGCCTTTCTCCAGCGCAACTTGAACAAGAAGCTTCCCATGTCATCCTTCCCTTCCAGACTGTTGCCGCATTCCATAGGGTCAAGTTCCACGCAATCAATGCTCACGGACATCGTGATTCAACCGTTACCGTGGATTCAGTGCACTGTCAGCCACCACGAAAGGACAAAAGAAGGCAGATAGTTCCTGCGCGCTTCGACACGGTTTTAGTTAACGAAGATGGTGGTGGGACGACAGGTGTTGATGGTGCGTGTTTTTTGTACTAATCCCTTGTAACATCATGCTAATATTTGATCATCAATATCAGGGTATCGTGTTGCACAAGTGCGCATCATCTTCACGCTGACAAGCCAGGCTACAGCTGCCTTATTTCGCACACCTGGAATTTTGCCTACCCACTTTGCATATGTGGAATGGTTCACGCCATTCGGGCAGCCTGAAGCAAACCATGGTTTGTATAAAATTTCCCGCCTCATTCGTAATGGAGAGCGTCTGGCAAGCATCATTGACATTTCTGATATTCGCAGGAGTGTACATCTTATTCCAAAATTCGGCCCTGTAGCACCTCGTGAATGGACCAGTAGTACCGTTCTGGAGCTTTGTTCTACCTTCTTCGTAAACTCGTTCAGCGACAGGCATGCTTATTTAACTATTATCTGACTAGTACTAGAATCGACTACATTCATCTGAAATACAATGATTTCTGTGAAAATACTACATTTCCTGGAATTCAACCGTTTTAAGCTCGAGTTTGAATATTTCGGTGAATTTCCTGGCAGAGGCTTTCCCTGATGGGCGGAAGTGTAAGGGGTTGGATTACTTAGAAATCTTTACTTAAATTTCCCGGCAGGGGTGTTTGGCGTGAAAATGGAACTCTGTTGGATGATATGCAGGTCGTGCCAAATGTGTGGTCAATTGTAACAAGTCAGTAAGTTTTTAAAGAACCACTGGTGCAGTTAACCATGGCCATGTACTCTAATTTCGTCTCTAGTTATAGACCTGTATTAAAATGGGACAAGTTGGGAAAACATATCGAAATGGGGGAAAATGTGTGTTAGTAAACCGATGTAACGCAGGTTCAGATTAGGTCGAGCCGGTGCTAGTCCGACTTGCGATCCACGATGGCCACATAATTCAAAATGGAACAAGTTGGGAAAATGTATCGAAATGGGGGGAAATGTGTTTTAGTAAACCGATGTAACGCAGGTTTAGACTAGGTCGAGCCGGTGCTAGTCCGACTTGCGATCCACAATGACCACATAATGAATCATCATGCCTGATTGTTACCAGTGCACCACAGCCTTAACCATTATAATGCTTCATATACCATCCGAATATTGCGTTAACAGGTTCAATTGTTTCCTAAGGCTAACACAGTGGGCACAACAACTATTTTGATTGAGATGACACAATTACAAAATAAAATGCATGCTAGACATCATTTATATTTACGGGTAGCAGCTGCAATGATATCATGCAAAAGTAATGTTGCCAATTTCAATCTTAATGAGAGGGTACTCAAATAACACTTGTACCACTAGTTGTTGGCTACGGAGGTTACCCTTATAATGCTCTGTCTAACTCTACATTATCACATGTCATAATTTCACTAATGGTAGGTGTTAGTCCTTATATAAAGTGAGTATAAGACTTGATAGCAAAAATTGAATTTCAGTGATAATTGTCAATTGGCTTCACTGGAAAGTCCGTCATGTTGATGTGGTATATAAAATGCTAGCAGTGGTTGAAATCAGTGTTTGCCGGAGATTGTGGAAATCCGTATCTACCTTGAGCTACCTTGTACCAACTCATGACCTTCACTTAAATCTTTTTATTGCCATACCGCATTCGGGTCTCCTGTACATATGTGAGAAACTGAAAAGTTCAGCCCAATGCCCACATACATAAAATGTGGCCCAATTTGCCATTGATGCTTCCTCAAGGTGATAAGCCAACGAAACTTTGCAAATACGCATTCGCTGAACAAGTTTCTTTAGAGCGGTTGAATATGGGTGGACAGTCACGTGCTGTTCGTTTGACATGCTTTGCAACCGAGTCGTAGTACGTGAGTCCTCAGTCCAATCCCACACTCTTTGTATGTGAAACTTAATTTGTTTGTCCTAATACCGTCGACACTAAATTCACTCAACGCTGGCACTGGCCGTCCGCCGATTGCCCCTGGTTTCATGTTTGGAGCGCGTAGGAGAACTGGCTTTAACGTCCGCCTATCAACGAGGAAGACGTCAGATTCCCTCAGCAACAAACCAACTTTCTTTCGATGAACGACCCCATAGGAAGCCTGAAGGTGACTTGACAGGGATTACGGCTGAACAGGTATGTGGCTAATTGTGTTGCATGCTTTGTGTAGCTGAAATTATTCTAGATCGCCCTCCAGAACCATATTGAGGCGCTTCAGCCTTCAGCCGCAGCAACAAGCTTTGTACCCGCAGCAGCTCGCTTCGAACCAGGTCCTCTCGCTGCGAACTCCAGGATTGGTCCCAAACAGGCACAGGCGCGTCCAAAGCCCATTACTAACCGACATGGGTGGAAACTTAGGTGTCAACGCTTTCAATTCCCCTATGGGCCAATTCAATAGCTTCTTCCGTAGCTCATTAGTTCGCTCCATCCATTCGGTACTTTGGCTGAAGAGCTTGGTCCCATTGGAGACATCGAAGTGGAAACCAGTGCTTTGTTGAAGGACTGCAACTTCCCTACAGGGGAGTTCTCAGACGGCGTTCTCAAATGCCTGCTTCCTACACCCTGGACGTGAGTTCCTGGCTACCTCTCACAAGATGTGAGCTGACCATACCATATACAGCGTCCCAGAGAGGGAATTTGAGGCTCGGAAGGATCTTCGTGAAAAAGCGCATCTTTACTATTGATCCTGAGTCTGGAAAGGACCTTGATGACGCACTGTCCATTGAAGCCAACGACGATATCACTTATGACGTGGGCGTGCGGCACGTCGCTTACGTCGCTTACTTCGTCAAGCCTAACGCTGCTCTTGACCGCGATGCTCGCAAGATGGCAACCAGCGCGCCGTCCCCATGCTTCCTCCCACCATTAGCGAAGAGGCGCGCAGTCTTAACCCGGGTGTTGAACGTCTGACATCCTCGGCCGTCTTCGCCATGACCAAGGAGGGCAAAATCGTCAACAAGTGGTTGGGCAAGACCGTTATCAAGTAAGCGTTATATTTCCGTGCACCGTGCACAGAATAATTGAATTCATTTAATGTTAGATCTTGCGTGAAACTGTCATATACCGACGCTCAGAAAGCTATCGACGGTCACATTCTGGGCGATCTCGTGGTCGCTCCGGAACGCAGTACATTAGCGATCATCCATGACCTCAAGGTCCTGAATGGTCTCGCAAAGCAGCTTCGTGCTGCACGCACGTACGCGCAAATTATTTTTTTTGGGAAGCCAGCATGGACAAATCACGCGTAGACCCGGTGCGAAATGAATACTTTAGTACGTCGTTCGCATCGTGATAGCGTCCAGAGCCGCTACTGACGTATCAAAAAGTTCAGTGTTAAACGTGCCAACTACCGCTTCCGCAAACGAAATACGGGAACGCTACAGAGCATTGTCTGTAATTTTTCGCCCCGATAAGCAAAGCGGGGAACGGACAAGGGACACTGCAGCTGTGGAATTCCTTGAAATTCAGAAGGCTTACGAAGGTGAAAGTCTTTAGTCCAGTTCCAATGCAATATCTGACAACACTTCAAAGTTTCGTCAGACCCTCTTATTCGTCTTGACAGATACGTGCGCATCTTCGACGTTGGAGGATCGATCGTAATCAAGAAGTGTTTGATCACCTCATTCGGCCAAGAGGCACTGTGACGTGTGGAATTGACGCATCGACGTTGTTCGCACGCGATGATGACCTAGATTATGATTCGAGAGGCATCCTCACCCGCTTGCGTGGAGTCTGTGTCTCTCAATTTGCCATTCGTCACTCTGTTATGGCGAGTTCCATACCTTTTCGTTCCCACCTGACATTCATATCCGCTCCAAATCGTGCAGAAAGTGTTGAATGACAAGATTAATCTCAAATTCACAAGTCGCCTGGGACCAGGCCCTCGAAATGACTTGCTGAGTAGAAATAACCTCATGGGCGCGATACGCCATCAATTTTCTCCTCGGCTCGCTTTGGAGGTATGTCTTATTATTACTCAGCGAATGATCGTCATCTGAAAAGGCTGCAGCACATTTCTTAGACCCTCAGCTCGTTGTCGCAAAAGCGAGCTACGAAGATAATGACAATACCCTAAATTGCCGTGTGCATTTCATTCCTGCATTCTGGAACCTTCTCCCTCCGGCTAGTACCGTTTCCTTCAGTCGTCGACTCTTCCGACACGCTTCAACGGTGGGCTCTGTGGTAGTGGACATTCTCTCCATTGTCCATGGGTTGACTTCTCGTCTTCCAGGATAGCGCCGTTAGCCTATCGTCCAAGCGCCTTGAATTTACCCTAGACGAAAGCGGCCGATCAGCGAGTGGACGGCGAGCAAACCGAGAACGCCGACGCAAACAACATCATTGAAGACGTTTGTGTTTAATTTGCACCTGAGCTATACCGAGGACTGATCTGAACAATTATAGCTCATGCTGCTAACTAATATCACCGTCGCGCAACGTATGGCCCTGCTTCGTAGACATGATACGCCGCTCGAGGGACGTCTTGCGAGTCATCATCATCCTATTCCAGTTACAACTTCATACCGAACGCGCCAATCGACTCAATATCGCAGTCGATGTCTCCTCTCGTGGTGCACACATTTTACCTCTCTTATTCGGCACTACGCGGATGTTCTTGCGCACCGTCAAATCGAATCAGTTTTTCAGGGTGGAGGCGAGTTACACTTCGTGACTGTCTTTGTCATATTCTGACGAATGGCAGTGGAACCTAAATTCTCCACGGACCGTGACGCTGTGGCTTCTAATCTCGGACCTCACTTAGCGATACGGTCCTGACATTCGTCCAGCTAAGGTTGCTAGCGTCCTTGATGCTGCGTTCGACGTTGTTGTCCCCGAGTTTGGTATCGAGAAGCGGTCCATGTTGACCAAATGCCTAACGATGTAAGCGTTTCAAACTCGATTCACGAGAAGAAATCTGATTGCTTGAACTAGAACTACGTTTATGATGAGCGCTCGTATGCCTTGCAAATATATTGGTCGACTAGGGACATCCTTAGCCGGTTGACAGAGAACAGCGACGACGAGCACCTGAGGAAGGTTAAGCAGAACGCTGAGGCCCACGCAGTCAAAATGGAAGTTGCATCTCGCTCTGCGCATGACGAGAAGGCCATCTTTCATGAGGATGATCAGACGCCGATGAAGATGAGATTGTGTTAGGGAGGGACATGGAAGCCGAAAAGGCGCCTGAGACCTCAAACAAAGGCTCTTGTTTGCCGCCAAGGCCCAGCCTGTATTGGAGGGTTTGAGGATCACACCAGCTAACCACAGGATTCAGGACATCAAGGAGCCCATGACCGCTCCCGTGCGTATTTCTTCTGAGTGATTTTGTTGACTCGTATTTAAGGTTATCGCGACCGCTGATTTGACCAAGAGCCCGCCCGCCATCAAGGGGTATGGTATGTTTCATTTTCTTTTTGCATTCTTGTTCTAAACTTCAAATAAATTAGTCATCTCAGCGTAATGGCTCCAGGGTCGGGCTCGAGAAGGCGCTCGAACATAACTCAATTCTGCAAGACATCGAGGCTCAGCGCCTGTAAAACGGAATAAACTCCCTCGGGCAAATAGGTTTCTGTCGTTCCTTTTTCTTGCGCCCGTTGTCGTTCGATAAACCAAACTTGTACGTGTCTCTGGCCCTGCGATCGGCGCAGCATGATTGAGCGGTCTACTGATGCTAGTCAGCCAGGCTATCAGAAGCTTCCTCCGCCCAAGGGGACCAACCCTAGAAAACGGGTATCGATCCCTCTCGGGAACGTCTCAAACCTGCAAGATCTATGATCATTTTCCAGACTGCTTAACCTTCTCCTATGATGGAAAGCTAGTCGTAGGCGCTGGCACACATGCGTCCGTCTGGGACCCTCATGCCATCGTAAAAGAAGCTGGTTCAGAAGACCTAGCGACCAGATGTGAGTGAACATTTACCACTCACTGCGACTCAATCTTATTGGCGATGAGCTCTAGAAGGTGTGTATCATCGAGTCATGCTTCCGACTTCGGGATACTCATATTTCACTCGTACTAGTCGTTCTTAGATGTGCGTGCCGTGTTGTCATTTTTTTGAATGATACTCCTCGAGAATGGGATCAAAATATGCGATGCAACGACCAATGAGCCCCTCCACGCAGTAACGCATAGTCAATCAGTCGGGAGTTGGTTGTGGACGTCGGAGAGCGACGACAAGTCCGTCAGATGACTCAATTAGGATTTTCGACACTGCCACGCGGCAGGAGCTCGCCATTCTGAGACGTTGCTTACATAACTTTGTTTTCGAAATTCGAACAACCGCGAACGGTGGATCGATGCTTTTGTCGATCCACCCATCCTCAATTTCCGCCGTAGTACGGCGCAGGCGGCAATTAGATAGCAGAGTGTGTGTATTTCAGTTCTCGTATCATAGTCGGTGACTGACTTCGGCAACCACTAGCTGGCAAGAAGACATTCTCTTCAATTGTTTCAAAAGTCAAGGCGAAGATACAGCAATACGATCAGGGCCAGGGAGCGTCCAGGTACGCATCCCTTTACTCCTGCCACCAGAGATTGTTTCATTAAACGATACCGGCGCTTCCATTGACATTCGCTTCACTAACTTGTTCACCTCCGTTTACGCGAAATATCTAATGGGTCTTCGTTACAGCCTGCGTGGGGTCAGACATCTCAACCTTCATGTTGGTTATGTTCTTACCTCCCGCTGCATTTCATCCCACGTCAGCTAAATTCGGACTTCTACCCAAACGGCCTGTATCACTTCTTCGGGAACAGCCCCAACCTACAGCGTACACACAGAGACGATAGGCACGATGGGTTGGAATACGCGGAAAACCCATTTGAGGAGAGGCGGTAATTAGGTGGCTATTCTGGGGTAACAAATCGGAATTATCCGCGACTGCGACCGCTGATGCGCTGATGGACTATGTATTGATGTCGGAACCATTCACACAGACGACGAACGCACACAGCCCAAAAACGCCGTCCTCCGCTTCGATTCGCTCGATCACCGAAGGCTCCAGGCCCGTTTTGTGTCTAATTCAGCCAGCTTGAGATGACCACCGACCAAAATGGAAGACGCCCGCTGCTTCTATACAGAACGTTACTCCGTCAGTAAGACGATGGGTTTGCGACTCTTTTGATGACGTGCTATGCCCTATGCGCATCATTTTTGGACCCGTTCCGATCTTTCGTCGAGAACACAAGTATGGTTCTTGCCACGATCATTGAATAGACTTGCTTACGTCACTTCAGTCATTCTTTCTTTGTAGGTTACGATGGCGCGAATAAGTTGGGTCAATTGGAGTTGACTGGCTGGGGTAGGCCAGCGCGGACATCCGGACGTCCTTTGTGGATCTCGGTTCTCTTTCCTGAATCGTGCACTCCGTTAACGCCGGTCGGAGTTCTGCCCACTGATAGCTCTTCTTTCATCCCCCGTCAAGTTTTGCTAGCGCGGCCGAGAATATATGACTTCGGCGAGGCATCCTCGAGGATCAGATCGATGTGGCAAGCGAGCATCGTGTAGTCAAGGCGGCAAACAACTTATAAGTACGTGCGAAATATGCGTATGCGGCTCTCTAAAGGTACTTAAGAGACGCGTGGAGTCTCTCTTCCCCTTGTCGATTCCTTCGTCGCTTCTCAGGCCTGAAAAGGCGCGCTGACCGTGCGCGGTTCGCTTTCTACAGACCTGACCGTGGTCTTGCGAGCCCCGTCGTCGCGACGGAGGGATACGTATCGCTCTCTTCCACTGGTGGATTCCTTCGTCGCTTCTCAGGCCTGAAAAGGCGCGCTGACCGTGCGCGGTTCGCTTTCTACAGACCTGACCGTGGTCTTGTGAGCCCCGTAGTCGCGACGGAGGGATACGTAGCGAGTATCGCTGATATTTGATGTTCGCGCACGCGCTCGTCGTACGTTGAATAGAAATAAAAGATGTTGTCGCGCTCCCACAATCATTTGCTTACTTCGAGTGACATCAAAAACTACGTCCTGGCGAATTGTATGTTGATCGGAGAAATAGTAGATGCATAGGGGAGTATCATAAAACTCCTTGAAGATAATGAACGCGCAATTCAGGTGCCTACTTTCTGCTACTAGTAGTAGCGTTCAAGGGCGCAGGCATTGAAAGTCCAGTCGCTGCGCTCAACCCTGGAACAAAATATGCCAATGGGTGGTCTGAATTCTGGGAGGATGGATCTGTCATATGAAAGATGTTAGAGGCAATATTATCGTATGACAAATCTATTCTCACTTGGCAGGGATTTACTAAGGAAAGCATATAATTGGTCAACTTCTATGCCGCGCCGTTGCATATCAGCAAGAAATGACGAAATGTCCTGATCGTCTCCGGAGGCTGATTTTTGGACTTTTGATACTTGATTCTCCAGATTAGAATCAGCTGGGCGCTTAAGAGGCAGAATTGTCGCCGAGTTTGAGCTTCCCTGAGATGCGTTGATGGGCATAGCATTAGTGGGTTGAGATTCTTCTTCCATGCTACCATTGGAGATTATGACCTTAAAGGAGATGCGGACCTGATGACATTCCTGACCGGCAAGAAATACCATGCTCACCTTCGCTTCTGACTGCACAATATCACCCCTCTTGGCCTCTACGATCATGCTGGGAGCAGGCGGAGACTTTGGTCTGGGAGATGCTGCTTGGCCCACCGGATTCTGAACTTGGCGCTCCTGATTATTCTTCCCCACAATAAATTAGGATTGGAGAAGGCGGAATACTATGCTCACCTGAACTTCCAACTGCGCAATATTATCTTCTGTATTAGCATCCGCAATCACATTGGGAGGAGGAGACTTCAATCTAGCAGACGCTGCCCGGCCCAAGGGGTTCTGGACTTGGAGCGCCTGTGTATTATTCGCAGTATTAGATTAGCATCCCAGAAAAATGATATCAGAGCCTTACTGAAGAGCTTGAGTGCAAGTTTCCCAAGCTGGGAGGCGCTTGAGATTTCATTCCGCATTTCTTAGTGGCCGAGTTTTCATTGACGGGTTTAACGACTTTTTTTTCTTGTAACGTTCCTGAAATCTGATTCGCTCCCTTACCTCGCATTTTCTTTTTTGAGGGGCCGGCTTTGGGCGTCTTTGACTTCATTTTCCCCTTCTTCAAAGGGACGTCGTCAATCTCAGAAAGGGCGCTGATGGCCTCTGCTTCCTCATCATCATTGAACAAAGAGCCTGCAAAATGTCAAATTAGATTTTCAATTGCAAAGCCCCAAGTAAATACGTGCGTAAACTGGGTGTTGCCCCTGTGAATGCATCCAGGATCGCTGCTTTACTGAAGGAGATGCGGTTCAGAAAAACATCCTGAGTGTCTGCTGCGACAATTCGGTAAACGTGGACAGTTTTTGGTTGTGGAGGACGATAGATACGTCCAATCAGTTGTCCTTCATCAGCGGCAGACCATAGGGAGTCCTATAGTTAAAAATGCATAATTGTCAGCGAAAAAATAGCCAGTCAAAGGGTAGGAAAACATGCGAAAAGCAAATGCTCACTACAATTATCAATATATTGGCGCAAGGTAAATTGAGACCTGTTAGCCCAACATTGGAGATTAATAAAACGCGAGGACCATCACGTCCGCTGCTTTTGAATTGGGCGATGACATCAGTTCTAGTGGAGATTGACAATTTGCCATGAATCTGCAAAGTTCGGATGCCATTAAGCTCCAGGACCTGCCATTCAAAATGTTCAAGGTTACTAAATTGTTAGAAAATCAAACCGCAATGAATGAATACCTTGATCACCTGTGTATAACTAGAAGGGAATGCGCAGTAGACGATAATTTTGTCACAGGGCATAGGGTCAGCCATGCCAGCGGTTGGGACATCAGGATTGGCAGATGATACTACTAGCTGGTCATCCACGACGCATAGAGGCAGACGTCCATCCTGCTCCTGATGCCAACCAATTACTTGTGCAAGAACGTCAAGTTTGCGAGACGGGTCCTTCTTCCACTCATCCAAATCTGAGGGGTTGGCCCATGGATATCCGGCATTGCAGCTAGGATGCATTAAAGCCCTGCGGACGCTCATGTAGAAATCCTGAAGAATTTTGATTCGTCAATGCTTGAACAAGAAGGAATGAAAAATTGTACCGAGCGAGAAGTCAACTTTGCCGCTCTAGCACCGCCTTCCGCAACCGTATTTTGGGCGATGCCCTCAAGATTGTTCACCTCATGGGGGTACAGCTTCACAAGCAGATTATGCTCCTGAAATGGATCCAAGCCTGAGATCCTGGTGCCACAATAGTCGACCGACAAAATGGTGCGCCGAATGACAATGCCTGAAAATCTCTCTCGGATGACGTTGATCCAAGTCAACATCTGACTATGGTACAGACTGGGAACGTCAACATTGGCATCACCCTTTACGGTTCCCATGATTATCTTGGTGATACGGTCACCTTGTTTCAAGCGCTTGCGATCCTTGGCAGCAGCGGCACGCAGTTGACACCCCATTTTTAAGGCCTCATCATCGTAAGAGCTGCCAAATAGCTCCAGACCCAGGCATCTTCCAATATTCCAAACATCCTACGCAAATGAAGAAGGATAAATTAATGTTAGAAACTGATTGGGATGATAAAATGATATGAATGTTGGTCACTCACAAGAGGTCGAGAAGTGATGGGTGTGGCTGTCATAGCGACAATGGCATGGCATAGCAAGCGAAGGCAAAATACTGCCCAGTAACCCTTTTTGATATTTCTGTAGTTATGCGCCTCATCCACCACGCCCAACAAGAAATCTCGCCCATAAGCCGTGCTGGGCACATCGGTTGTATAATTGGTCTTCCGTCGTGGATGCTTGGTTGGCGTATGATTATTGGCCTCAAAAATGCGGTCGCAGTCAGATTCTAAAGCCTAAATGCAAAGAAAATTGAGCTTCACAGATTGAAAATAGAATCATATCCATACCTTGGGAGTAGTGATGACAATCCGCCGTCCTTCTGGCTGCTTTGATTGGCTCCATATGTCTTTCCACCAGGTTCGCCGACTGTTCCAGGTGGTCAGATAGGGTAGAACATCAAAGGCGCCCCGTTGAAGAAATCGGTGCAACTCTGACGTAAACTGGGACACAAGATTTGCTGGGATAACGAGCATCACGGGAAGATTTGGAATGTTTGGAGAGTTGCTTCTCCACTGCTTCCCAGCTAATTTGGTTTAGGTCAGATTTACAGCGCTGGGGAAACATTGACCAAGGGGCATACCTATTTTACCTGGGAAGCAGTTATGCATCGTATAAAATTCACGATAGAATGAAAGTACTGCAATCAAGGCGGTGACTTGGATGGTTTTACCTAAGCCCACTTCGTCCATCAGCAGGACGGGCATTCCAAAAAATACATTCTTGACCATCTTGACCAGACCCACAAGCTGGTGCCAGCGGAGAGCGAGAGGTTCCCCATTATCTTTTACCCAGGTTTGACCGCCTTCAGACCAAGGGTCATAATGGCCATAGGGGTCTTGCAAAAGGTTAAAGAACGGTATTTGCTTTTCTGGAAGTCCAAGGATAGTCCAAAGGTCGTCCTCAGACAGGCTACTATATTCTTCCACGCCTTCAGACCACTTATAATCACAATCATCGGTGGCATCCAGGTCCAACTCTGGTATTGATTCCGCTGGCGTGGCATTTGGATCGCAAAGTTTTAACTGGTCATGGATGGACGCAGTGAGTAGAGTTATATCCTGCTGAGTGGCAAGGAATGAAAGGGCTTGACGTAGGGGCTTAGGTAGACCTATTGAAAAAAGTAAGAAAATAGGTACCAAGGCGAGCTGAGGTTAGTAACGCACGGCACTTATTTCCATCCTTCACATCTATCTCTAAGCCTTGAAGAAGGTCATGGAGCATTTCTTGCTGCTCTGAAAGCTGCTTCAATGACTCCTGATCGCCATATCGAGTAAGGATTTTGGTAAGTCCTTCCACGTCCTTCAGCCAGGTTCTAATGCCTTCAGCGTCCAGATCTTGGCTTTGCTCTGCCATCGACAAGAATTCTGGATAAATAGTATTAGCTATCTGAAAGACCGGCGATCGAAAGGCTCACGTTTCCACATCTGGTCTACTTTGCTCTTTAGCTTTCCAAGTCTTTCTCTTTCACGTCCAATAGACTTCCTATTCTTGGCCCAATGGTGGGCTACGAGGGCATCCAGGAAGCGTCGGACAGGCTCCTTAAGTGCAATACCATCCTCCGTGAAAGATTCAGGGCCAAAAAGAGCCTCTGCAAGGCCAGAGTATGCCAGAGCTACCTGTGAGGTGGCAAGATCTGGTACCTTATTTAAATTGTCAATGAGCGCATGGTATGGGGATAAAAGTAAATGAATCTCACATTGGCCACCTTGAGACGCTTCATAACTGAATATGGGTCCAAGCCGCGTTCAGCCAGTACAACATCAACGGTATGGTTTATTTTCCAGTTGGACCAATTGGCATGGCAGTAGTCCAGCCAATGTTGGCGACCTTTGTTGTCGTTATCGGAGCGATCTTTTTTGATGTAATCCACTTGCGCGCTGTCCTCAATAGCCCAGAAATTGTGCGCGAATGTCAAGACTGCCTGATTGACCCCAGGGGATTTCCAAGCGCTGGGAGTGTCCTCATTTAGAGTTACTGACAAGGGCGTCGAACTAAGAGTGGTGCGCTGTTGCCATACTGGCCAACACCAAGGAATATTGCCAGCATTAGGGTGCCCTACGGCATCAACCAAAGAATCGACCTCTTCTGCATAAGAAGGGGCACTGAGTGCCAGAAGAGCGCCAGGCATAGTAATGGTGGGCATTTTTGGCAGAGTAAGGAGGAAATGTCCCGTCATTCACCGTACATATGGTTTCCTCTGTATTCCCTGAACTTGGGCAAGTAGTACCCATGGGTCGGGAGCGAAATAAAATAAAATCTGGCACAGGCAGAGAGTCTAGTAAGAAGGGTCAATATACTTTAGGACCCTGAGTAATCAAACCAGAATTTACTTGGTCAGGCCCATCACTGGTGGGACATCGTAATGTTACCATCTCCAAGCTCACCATCATGCCATCACTGGCCATCCAGGACGTCCTCTGAGATCTAATCTCCACTTGGAAATTATGTCCTCAGGTCCTTGCACTGGCAGTTGAGGACATTCAGATGCTGGATAGTAAGTACCTAGTAGATTGGCCTCGTGATGAGTATAATTCTAGCTGCCCACCATCTACAGTCATATGGTAGATGTGATAAGGGGACTTAACATAATGTGAGCAGCAAATGTTGTATACCAGGATGGTGATGGTGCTGAGGCCCCTCTGTCCCCAGCTCTCCTCCGCGGTCAACTTTTGAGGTAAACTCCTACCATTGGTCACTAACATCATCAATCAAATGAAAATTTCATACTCAGTCGACTAAGTCCACGATCAACCGATTAGAACTTTCTGGCATGGGGTTATTCGGGCACCAGTGACTCAGATTGGTACCTCAATATCCTGGGATGAGCGTAAATGGCGAAATTAGTGGAGATTGTGAATTTGAGAGGGCGCAGACCCACAGCACATCTACCAATAAAGCATGGTCCTTCATGATATATGATACATGACAATCATATGGGATATGATCTTAGATTCCGCATCTGAGAGACCCTTGCTCAAGCTCTCACTCAAATGCGCCCAACTCATTTTAGCAGGTCTACGGCTTCCATATTTTCTGACCGGCACCGAGGCTGCTCCACACTTCGTGGGAGCCAGGGATTGAAGTCAAGAACTAATCAAATATGATGAATTCTACTAATATGAAGCGCGCACCCGTGCCTTCGCGGTGATTATTAGCTATGTAAGAGGGCGGCTCAATTCATTTGGCAGTTCACGTTCACCTGGGAGCCGAGTTCGGCTGGTCGAGCTTTAAGCGCTGCCAAACCTATCCTAAACAGGACTGGTACCTAAACCTTACGGTGCGCAGCGCCAACGCCTGGTGTAGTACAGGCTACTACAAGCAGCCTATACTCGATGGAAATGGTCAGGAATGTCGAGGGTTAGGTATTGAATGCGAATCACAAGGTTTAGAGAGGTTTAGGATGTGTTCTAAGACTGATTGTATATAATTTACTGCGCCAAGCGTTAACGTTGCGCGCCGTGAGGTTTAGGTACAAGTCTTGTTTAGGACAAGGTTTGTCGGTGCTTGAATCCAAGTGAACTCGAACTTTTATAGAATTGAGCAGCCCTGTAAGATGTGAGCATACGCCATAGGCACCCGAGCATGAACTGAGCGTGCATACGGATCTGAAGTATAGAAGTTCCCAATCAGGATAAAGAGGACGACGATGGCAACATTACTTTATTTAGCATGATCGCGTCAAAGATCTCAGAGGGAGAGTACTTCGAAACTCCCGAAAGACACCAAGTCAGAGGGCGTCTCCGAAACAAGAATATGCAGCTGAAAATGCCCCGAAAAACATATTTGCGTCACGCTAGTTCTGGCAGCGTGAAGTCAGAATACATGTTCTTGCCCAGCAACCAGACAGCCAAAATAACGCGCTGGAACTTTCAGCTCCGACCCCATCCCCTCTTCCTCTACTTCGATCATTCGAAACCCATCGTCGGTGGTGACGCATCTGTCTTTTTCGAACTGACTCGGGGCGGATATTTCATTCAGGTCCGTGCGTCTGGGAAGGAAGCAGGCAATATTATCTGAGATCCGCTCGTAACTTTTGCAGAGTCATTATTCTAGACGGGATATCAGTGGCAACGCACAGGGTACCGCAAAGGGCGTACATTTGATCTTGCTGCCTCAAGCCATTCACTATCACCCTTGGGACGCTGCTCGCAACCTGCTTTGATGAGCCATCTTCTTCCTAACATGCGGTTACAATCTAACCGAAGGCGCGTTGATGCATATTCCGGCTTCAGCCTTGAGAACGACTCTATTGCATGACGCCCTTAGGATCGACAGAGCCAGAGGTAGTTCATGCACCAGAAATCTATGAAGCAATGAGCAAGGGTGATGAGCCCTATAATAAGTAGCGTACGGTGATTCGTGGGCCTCGCGTAGCACGCCGATCAGACTAAAAAAAGATTCCAGAGCCCTCCTGATTTATGAGGTCCACAGTTCGTGCGAAGGTAGAGAAAGAGCCGGCGTATGGTGCATGATGACGGGCAGACTGACCTTGGGTGGCTGACGCGCATTGGCAACTTGAACCAGTGTTCTGCCGGTCAGTGTACGTTCATCAAAGTTAATGTACGTTCAGCCGCGAACTTTCCCATGAATGCAAGTGAACTGAACTCGTGCAGTGCCAGATGTCCTGCTTGAATATTAGATAATCATGTCTGATTGGACGACGAAGCAGGTTCAAAGTGCCGCCGCAGTACACGGTGCGTCAACAATCGCAGAATGGATAGTACTCGACTACTACTACCATAACATCTGGTAGCACTGCTCATTTATCTACTCGTCAAGAACATCATCAACTTGAGGAAAGTCTGGATCATCAATTCCCTCGGCATCCAAGTCAAGAAGCTCATATAACTCAAGCTCAGCATCCAAACCTCGAATAGCGACTTTATAAAAAGATCCCAACCATTCCTCCGCACGAGAATAGTCGAGTAAGTCACTGATAGCAATGCGGGAGAATGAACCACCGGCACCGGCAGCACCAATGGGGACTGAGTGCATTGATTCTGTGGTGGAAATCTCCTCCTCCTCCTGAACAGCTCGGATAAGGTCTGCTGCAACATCACTTATCCCTCGCCTCTCGAAAGCGAGGCTGCGTGGCTCCCATTCGCTGCTTTCTCCTGATAGATTGTCGCTAACTGCATGAACTACTTGAGTAGGCTCTGCTTTGTCAGTGGCCTCGGTGTCACAGTACCGGCGTTGAAGCCGCTTCTTGACCACATCGTTGCGTACATGCACTTCGTGAACATACATCTTGAGTTCTGCCAGAAGGGTGAGCGTCTCAGTTGAGAGCCGATTGCGCCATTTTGTATTCCAGCCGTGCTTGCGAACGGACATCCTCAGAGTGCAATGCACAATCACGCAAGTGACATAATAGTGTTGTCGGCCGACTGATTAACCAGGTGCGTTGGGGATCATTCGGGCCACTAGCCCAAACTAGTACATTAAGTTAGTAACAGAAAGCTATAAAACAAACTTGCGTACGAGTGCCTGCTATTGCCACTTCGTCCCTTGGTGCATCTCGCTGGCCCAAGTGTACCTGCTGCTCATCCATTGCCTGCTCATGCGCAACACATTGCTCATAGAGCCTTGCACACACTACCTTTGCCTTTCCACTGACCATCGAAGCTGGGTCTTTGACAGCATAACCTGGGTGCTCCACGAAGTGATCCCACCACCATCCTTGGTTTGATCTCTTGCCGATCTTCATGGTGTGTCAAAAGTCGGGAGTCCATCTTCGAGTTCTAAGCCTTAAAACGTACCTTTGAACCGAACACACGAAAACCATGGGTTTATGTGAGTAATGATATGTGAAGCGGCACGAGGATAATCAAAGATTCTAGCATTGACCAGATATAGTATAGTTCGTTACAGTAGGACCAGGAAACTTCAGATGAACGTCGACGAAGTTCGCCAGCTTTCCCACGCAATCCGGTCAATGACCGTGAACTTGGTTCACTGACCGGCAGAACACTGACTTGAACTGACGCCTCGGCGAAACCCAGTCCAGGTACGCTGAGTCACTTAAACGATCTGCCAGGGGACCCCTGGCACCGGAATGGGGAAAACCCGTTCGTTCGGTCCCTCCGTCGATGATAATCGATAATATACAAACGCGGCGAGGCTTCGAGCTCGATCACTCCGCTCGATTCCCTCGGCTGTTACTCTCTTTGTTTTTCGCCGCTGCTCGCGTAAATTTCTGGATGTCTTCGCTGTTCTCTGACCTCGTTTCTCTCCCCCCTTTCCCTAGGCGAACTTAACAAGTTCCATGGCACAGGCAGCTCACGCGGCGCCCAGCGTAGCCATCACTCTCGCCTACGACGATCCTACGTCAGTGGGAAGCGTCCCCCTACCCGATAACACGCCCACTGTGAGCAGCGTACTTGTGGTGGTTTTGATCGCGATCTTTCTCGTCATCGTCGTCACCTGGCCTTGGTGGAAGCCCAAACTCCCGCCCTTTGTCCTCTGTGGATGCTGCCCTTTCATTGTGGTCCACTCGGAGCGCGATGACAACATCCCGGACATCGTGGACCTGGCATTCGCCAGGTTGGACGCGACCGGCGCCGGTCCCAAGGAGGTGAGCGCGTCCGCCCTGTATAGTTTGCATTCGGGGCATTGACGTACCACACGCGCTGTTCCCCAGGATGCGTAAACTTTCAGACGGAGAGAGTTTTGCAATTTATGAGTCAGAATACATGTACGTTGGAGTACTGTGATAATGAACGTATTTGTCAACGTGCGACCTTGAACAAAACATGCGTCATCGCCGTCACCGAGGGACCAAGTTCACGGTCAGCTACACACAACGCCACGTGCAGGGTTTATAAAGAGTCCAAGGACGTTGAACAGCGTTTTGAAGGTTGAGGAATTCTAATATTCTGAGGCAGGGTGGACGGCCCATGCTAGGAGTGCACGCCTGCCAAATCTCATGGCACGCGGCGCGCCTGTCAACTAGACCTTCGCACACCCAACCTGATTATATGTGCTCTCGAGAACGCTTGTGGCCCGGGCATGGACTGGGCGACCAACTCGCATTTATGGCGTCGATATCATGATGGGTTCATGGCAAGCGTCGTTCTATGCTTCTGACCGATTATTTCGCTCAAGTAATGACGCAGGTCAATCCTAGAGCCATTAATGCTTCCTCAAGGTGATAAGCCAACGAAACTTTGCAAATACGCATTCGCTGAACAAGTTTCTTTAGAGCGGTTGAATATGGGTGGACAGTCACGTGCTGTTCGTTTGACATGCTTTGCAACCGAGTCGTAGTACGTGAGTCCTCAGTCCAATCCCACACTCTTTGTATGTGAAACTTAATTTGTTTGTCCTAATACCGTCGACACTAAATTCACTCAACGCTGGCACTGGCCGTCCGCCGATTGCCCCTGGTTTCATGTTTGGAGCGCGTAGGAGAACTGGCTTTAACGTCCGCCTATCAACGAGGAAGACGTCAGATTCCCTCAGCAACAAACCAACTTTCTTTCGATGAACGACCCCATAGGAAGCCTGAAGGTGACTTGACAGGGATTACGGCTGAACAGGTATGTGGCTAATTGTGTTGCATGCTTTGTGTAGCTGAAATTATTCTAGATCGCCCTCCAGAACCATATTGAGGCGCTTCAGCCTTCAGCCGCAGCAACAAGCTTTGTACCCGCAGCAGCTCGCTTCGAACCAGGTCCTCTCGCTGCGAACTCCAGGATTGGTCCCAAACAGGCACAGGCGCGTCCAAAGCCCATTACTAACCGACATGGGTGGAAACTTAGGTGTCAACGCTTTCAATTCCCCTATGGGCCAATTCAATAGCTTCTTCCGTAGCTCATTAGTTCGCTCCATCCATTCGGTACTTTGGCTGAAGAGCTTGGTCCCATTGGAGACATCGAAGTGGAAACCAGTGCTTTGTTGAAGGACTGCAACTTCCCTACAGGGGAGTTCTCAGACGGCGTTCTCAAATGCCTGCTTCCTACACCCTGGACGTGAGTTCCTGGCTACCTCTCACAAGATGTGAGCTGACCATACCATATACAGCGTCCCAGAGAGGGAATTTGAGGCTCGGAAGGATCTTCGTGAAAAAGCGCATCTTTACTATTGATCCTGAGTCTGGAAAGGACCTTGATGACGCACTGTCCATTGAAGCCAACGACGATATCACTTATGACGTGGGCGTGCGGCACGTCGCTTACGTCGCTTACTTCGTCAAGCCTAACGCTGCTCTTGACCGCGATGCTCGCAAGATGGCAACCAGCGCGCCGTCCCCATGCTTCCTCCCACCATTAGCGAAGAGGCGCGCAGTCTTAACCCGGGTGTTGAACGTCTGACATCCTCGGCCGTCTTCGCCATGACCAAGGAGGGCAAAATCGTCAACAAGTGGTTGGGCAAGACCGTTATCAAGTAAGCGTTATATTTCCGTGCACCGTGCACAGAATAATTGAATTCATTTAATGTTAGATCTTGCGTGAAACTGTCATATACCGACGCTCAGAAAGCTATCGACGGTCACATTCTGGGCGATCTCGTGGTCGCTCCGGAACGCAGTACATTAGCGATCATCCATGACCTCAAGGTCCTGAATGGTCTCGCAAAGCAGCTTCGTGCTGCACGCACGTACGCGCAAATTATTTTTTTTGGGAAGCCAGCATGGACAAATCACGCGTAGACCCGGTGCGAAATGAATACTTTAGTACGTCGTTCGCATCGTGATAGCGTCCAGAGCCGCTACTGACGTATCAAAAAGTTCAGTGTTAAACGTGCCAACTACCGCTTCCGCAAACGAAATACGGGAACGCTACAGAGCATTGTCTGTAATTTTTCGCCCCGATAAGCAAAGCGGGGAACGGACAAGGGACACTGCAGCTGTGGAATTCCTTGAAATTCAGAAGGCTTACGAAGGTGAAAGTCTTTAGTCCAGTTCCAATGCAATATCTGACAACACTTCAAAGTTTCGTCAGACCCTCTTATTCGTCTTGACAGATACGTGCGCATCTTCGACGTTGGAGGATCGATCGTAATCAAGAAGTGTTTGATCACCTCATTCGGCCAAGAGGCACTGTGACGTGTGGAATTGACGCATCGACGTTGTTCGCACGCGATGATGACCTAGATTATGATTCGAGAGGCATCCTCACCCGCTTGCGTGGAGTCTGTGTCTCTCAATTTGCCATTCGTCACTCTGTTATGGCGAGTTCCATACCTTTTCGTTCCCACCTGACATTCATATCCGCTCCAAATCGTGCAGAAAGTGTTGAATGACAAGATTAATCTCAAATTCACAAGTCGCCTGGGACCAGGCCCTCGAAATGACTTGCTGAGTAGAAATAACCTCATGGGCGCGATACGCCATCAATTTTCTCCTCGGCTCGCTTTGGAGGTATGTCTTATTATTACTCAGCGAATGATCGTCATCTGAAAAGGCTGCAGCACATTTCTTAGACCCTCAGCTCGTTGTCGCAAAAGCGAGCTACGAAGATAATGACAATACCCTAAATTGCCGTGTGCATTTCATTCCTGCATTCTGGAACCTTCTCCCTCCGGCTAGTACCGTTTCCTTCAGTCGTCGACTCTTCCGACACGCTTCAACGGTGGGCTCTGTGGTAGTGGACATTCTCTCCATTGTCCATGGGTTGACTTCTCGTCTTCCAGGATAGCGCCGTTAGCCTATCGTCCAAGCGCCTTGAATTTACCCTAGACGAAAGCGGCCGATCAGCGAGTGGACGGCGAGCAAACCGAGAACGCCGACGCAAACAACATCATTGAAGACGTTTGTGTTTAATTTGCACCTGAGCTATACCGAGGACTGATCTGAACAATTATAGCTCATGCTGCTAACTAATATCGCCGTCGCGCAACGTATCGCGATTCACCTTCCCGTAACCCACCACGACCTCTGGGCACCTCGACACCCTCTGTACTTGTCAAGTCGCACATAACGATGACCCCGCGCTAAAATCGCGCCACCCGCATATCTCCTTTCCAAGTTATGGCCCGAACTTTGTTTTTCGTTGCCTTACTGGGAGGAGGCACAGGTAAGCTCATAACGTTTTTTCAACACACTCCCTGACCTCAACTATCTATCATCCTAATCTACAGTACCCTGCGATGTCCCTGCGCCAAAAGCTCGCCGCCCGTGGCTTTTGTTATCAACTTATGGCCCGACCTTTGTTCCTGTTGGCAAACCAGGAGGAGGACGGCAGGTGAGCTCGTATCCTTCTTTAACGTTCGTTTCTCGTACTAACATGTTCAGATCTCACACTAGGTACTTCAATACACTCCCCGCACCACTCATCTCTCCAACCGCACGTCTCATCCGTCTGTTATGGCCTGATCTTCATCCTGGGTCAGCTACAGGGAGGAGACTCGGGTGAGGAGACTCAGGTGACTTCATATCTTTTTCCCTGGCGTCCGGTTGCTGCAAACTGATCCTTTCAATACCTAGGGACTACAAACACGAAGAATTTTGGTCCCCTTCGATGGTCTACAGCCCCACGTCACTTGCTTTGCCCCCTCCGCCTCTTGACTCTCGCACACTCATGTGGACTCGCTCCCAATTGTTTTCGGACCTCGTTCACGCCAATACATCAACATCTCGCGTTTGGGACTGCTTCTGCATGGGTCCGAATGCGTTTTTCCAAGTAGGATCTTTTCTTGTCATTTCGTCCAATACAATCAAGTACGTCTCTACTTCACATACATAATGTTCTTAACACCATATTCATTGCCTCGTAGACTCTGAGACATCGACTAATTCTGGCTTTGCTTCATCCGTCAATCCCAAGGGTACCTCACGTCGCTCAATAGCGTCGTTCTCAAGACTGAGACCAAAATCGGCGATATCAAACGCACCCGCAATCTTTTTGACTTGCTCGTTCAGTCACATCTTCGACACGCCCCTTGTTAGATTGCAGCTGCTTGTCTGAAAGAACGTGCTGGCCGCATGCTGCAAGGAAACTCATACAAGCGGGCTGCAAGCAGTGTCCAGGATGTATGGCTGCAGGCTGCAAGATTATATGTTGATATGCCCTTCGTGGTACCCTCTGCAACGTTGCTGATGTTCTTTCCAGCATCCCCAACTTCGTTCGGCTATGAAACAGCTCGAAACATCTGAGCGCGCCAGAGCCTTCCTTCACCAGGCCTCGATGGCGCTTAGTGATGCAATTTCGAACCTCGACGAGATATCTGCTCGAGTATGATCCAAGGTAACGACTTATTTTCACTTTCTGCTCAGCTGTATGTTCAACACTGAAACAAAGAATTCGACATGGTAGATCGAGCTCGGTGTGCGAGCGCTCTGACGGCACCAGGGATACGCGTCTTGTTTTTGCGATCGAATTGGATTTGTGTGACGTGGCTTTCGAACACAGTGGGCATCTAAGACTGCAGTCATATACTCGTAAGTTTGCGAGCGTTGCGTCTATCCTACAACACAAGACCAACCTGTATCACTATGGAAAGCTGGACGCGTGCGCTCCGTTACACGACGTGACATGCGCCCAACTGTCTGAGGCTGAGTCCGGTATCTGGGAAACGCCAGAAGGCATGACATACGTAGATGGTAAGTAAATGAATCATAGGAATTACGCCATATTCATTGTGTTTTTGTTGCGCAGTTCTTTCCTCTCAGAAGGGAGAGGAAGGTCCTTAGAAGGGGAAAGACGCCGATATTGCCCGCTGGGAGGCCGAGCTTCGTAAATCGCTTGCGAATAAGAAGGGTGGCGCGACAGCTACGCCGTCAAAGCAAGCTCAAGCACTCGTACAAGCACAGCTGGACAAGGAAGAAATTGTGCGGCAGCGAGTCGCCACTATCAAACTCAATCTGCAACGAGGGCTGTCATACATTCAAAGTTTAGCGTCCATCAATGTCCCCGAGTTGCGCATGTATGTTTCCTTCATTTTATCGCTCTTGTTGGAGGGAGCTATGGGTCAAGGATCGAGGCTTGTGGGGTCACAAGCATTTGAAACTTGGTAGGTTTGCGTGGGTTTCCTTTGTGTGGTTTGCACTTATTTTTTCCGTGCTAGGACCTCGCCAAGTGCTGCTCAGCACGTTTGGATTCTTTCCATAAGTGTAAGTGGGTTGGTGTAGCGACCTTGCGAAGCCTTAGAATAACATCAGTGCCCGAGGAACCGAGGCTGAACAATTTAGCTGTGAGTTTCATCTGTCGTCTGAAAAACCAGTCGCGTGTTGACGATTCTCCAGCTCTCGTGCTACGCGTTCTCTATCGTCTGTGATCGCTGTCAGAACAAACTCCGTTTGATGCCGCAACCTTTTCCTATGCATTTCCACTCCTTGGACAGGCGTTGCTGAAGGGTAGGGTAGACGCCGGGCAAGATGATGGTGATGAAGCACTCGAGCAAGTAACTCTCGTGCTCGATATCATCAGATTTCACTGCAGCGAATGTTCGTCTTCAGTGTAAGAATCGATGCATTTTTAATATTCTTGCAGTTTCGGATGCAGCATTTCCCAGAAAAGCAACTATGGAGTACGTCCTCCAAGTCATAAAGCATCAGCCGCGACTTAGCAAGGAAGCGTCATCTGTTCTCATTGACCTCGGAGAGGCTGTGCAGCCGAACGCGACCCGCGATGAGGTTGGTGTGCTCATGGATGGCACACTATTGCAAGAGGTCTACGTCAGGAACGCTCGTCTGCAAGCCATCCAGGTCAGTATCATTTGCTTGTAGTTTGCGCTATGTCTGTTCATCATTTTCGCAGCCATTCGATTTGACTGATCTTGATTGGTCTCCGCAACATTGGGTAGCCTGCCACGATGACGATGAGCAGAATGTCCGTCTCGCCAAACACTTGTGGGAGGATAACGGCTTGGATGTTCCAGAAGACTTCCTTGACAAGCTCATGAACTATCTGGGTATGTAGTCCATGTTTCTATACCTTAAATCCTAATGGGTCTGTCAGAGCACAACAATGCGTACGTTCGAACCAGCGCGGTATCGGCCATCGCGGAGGCTGTGATTTATTGGCCTCGAAAGAGCGCGCTGACCATAGCTGCTCTACAAGACTTCTGCCGGGAGAAGGTGTGACTCCTCATCATTATTTACGTGCTCGGCTCTAACCAGTTTGAAGGCTAAAATCCTTGCACCCGAGTTCGATGAATATGTTAGTACCATATTAAACTTTCCGAATGTGATTCTTATTCGGTGCACAGGGCATGATTATTGCTTCTAGTCTCGATCGCTCCGATCCATGGGCTACTCGGGTGGCAGTGGCCCTAGGTATATATATACGGCTATATACCTTGGGGATATCATGCAAATGCCCGTGCACCAGATGCGCAAACACGCAGGGACAACGAGCGGACAAATCACTCAAGTCATATTGAGACCAGTACCTCAGTGAAATACCATGTCACTCATTCTGTGTTGCTCTGAAATTCACGGGATCAATAACATGTACAGACGATAGCAGTACGACCTACACACCGATATGAACAAAAACCATCCTCTGCTCGAGCGGCACTTCCGTCTTCACAGCATGCGTAGCACAGTTAAGTACCCAGGCCGCCTTCGTACAGTCCATGACACCACCATCTTTCAAATCTCCGAACATATACCTGTAGAAAGCTTCAACCACGTGTTTTGCGATGGCATCGTCGACCTCCCACAACGTGCCAACGATGCTCTTGAACCCTGAAAACTGGAGACCAGCTGCAAGGTGAACCACTTCTTCGGACATCTTCTCATCGCCCATGGCAGTAGGACAAGCAGATAAGAATGCGAACTCAGCCTGCGGAATGTCTCTCCACAATATTGAGCAGCGTCAAATGTTCGTCTCTCATAAGAAAACGTGAATTGTTAGGCTCCGTAGGGTCCTGTTTCCCATGACAAGCAAGGTGCACCCAGGCGTTCTGCTGCAAAGTTGAGAGTGCACTTGCTCGCGTGGCTGCGTCGCCAGAAATAGTGATGCAGTAGGCAGTTGTCGGGACGAGCTTACGGATAAGCTCGAGCTTGCTGTCGACAGCTAAGAGCGCCTTGCCTTTCCCTGCACCCGGTTGACCTTGTCCAATCGCCACAAAGGACGGAGGAACGCCCTTCTTCGTCAACTGTCTAGATCTGATTAAAGCTGAAAGTGTCGGCGTGTAAGAACAGATGTAAAGATATTCCAGGCATGGCTCCTTGCCAGAACGATCTGACTTTGTTTGGAACGGGTGAGCTGCATGGAGAGGAATGGACGTGAAATCTGCAGTTGGACATAATCAGGTTCGAGAGCGGTGCTTTAGTTTGAGGACATACTCGAGTGCGTTGACGACGGGCAACACGACCTCGTCCCATATTATCCGCAGGAGCACTATTAGATCCGTCCTTGACTCCGCTGGGCTCATTCGAGATGCATCTCGTATTGCCCTGGCGAAGCGATCCTTGAGAATCTTCAGATCTGCGAGAGCGATGGATGGCAAAGGAACATGATGGGGGCCTCCCGATGTCGGGACAATGATGGCGCTGCACGAGTTCTGGCTGGCGATGAGGATGATAATCGGGCTCTGGCGTGCTGCCACTTGCAAATCTTCGTACGAAGGTGGGAGCAAAACCGCGAGAACACCCGAAGATTACGTGTCTCAGCTACTACAGCTTCCCATTGCTTTGTGAGTCTCCTATACTCTGTTGCTGCCTGATCAGCAACAGCTCTGTCAGTTCTGGCTATAGAATCCAGAGCATCGGACAGGTGCGTGCTAAGATTTAAAAAATTGCGAGCTAGTTCGGGATTCCTAGACTTGAGGTCTTCGAGTGGCGTCCTGAACCGCAATGCCAGTGACCACTGCTGGCCACGGCCCTGCTCCACGAGCTCGACTGCCCGTCGTATATTGTCACGACGTATGGCACACAAGGCAGCATCTACAGGAAGTGGTCGCGCACCACGAAAAGCGGCTGCAACCTCGCGCCGTGAGATGATCGACGATTGCGTCATCATATGGCTGTCAAACAGCTCAAAGCACATCTGGTATGCTTCTAGGGCAGATTCATGTTGAAATACCTCTGCTTGACGAGCCCAGTCAATAGCCTCCGTGATGCGTTCCGGAAATCTTTGAGTAGGATGCCTTGATGCCAGTCGGAAGTTCTCCACTGCGAGCGACAAATCAACAGGGTCGCGTAGAATCTGATAACGAGACACATAGGCCACCTGCAGCCGCATGTAGCTGAAATACCTGCCCGGGTGAAGTGAAGACCGAGCTGCCAATGACTCTTGGCAAAGAGTAATGGCCTATCATCCTGAGTCGCATGAAATGAGAGCAGAGTGCTGAACTCAAATTGTGAAGAGTCACATAGCGCTCTGGATCAAGCTGCGTTGACCGAAGGGATTGGTAATATAAATCGATGGTCTCGTTAAGATCCTCGCTGGCATGTGATATGTCATGTCACTGTTGGAGCGCAAGGGCAAGGTGGTTAAGAGTGCTGTCACGAAGTGGATGCCCAGCTGGACGCAATGACAGCGCCTCGCGATGGAGGGTGATAGCTCGAGTGAGGGTCTACAACATTCCGACGTTTGGTAAAACGGGCGACAAGCGCTCCCTAAGTTGTCTAATGAGGAATCACGAGATTCGTCCTCAACAGGGCACAGGTCACTCGTATTCCGCTTCGATTACGAAGGCAGACTTAATGACCTTTCCCGCGCGCCTAGCATTCGAACAAACTCATAGGATGCCCTGATCTCGACTGACAATGCAGGTGAGGCGTGTGATGACCTATAAACTCAAGATCAGTTCTGGTATCGCGTCAGTCACCATGAGCTTTACAAGGTTACAGTATTCCCCCACGCTACAGCTTGATCGGATGATAAGACGCAGATGGCTGACTTCTGGCATCTCCCCGAGTCGACATTGATGGATACGCAAATGCCAGCGGGAATACGCCAGGAGGGGATTAAAAGATTCCTGGCGTTGATGACTGCACAGTGTAGATAGAGTGTGAGGATCATGAAATAGATACGAAGGTAATATGGAGGAACTCGCCTTCAATTCTGATATATCGGCTTTCCGAGCAACTAGGCATGATAGCACGATGGAGCAAAATGATGAGGATCGAGGATGGTGAATGGAATAAGAGAGAGAAAGACGGGGTGGGGATATGGGGACTGTGGATAAAGTTCAGCTGAGAGGGAAGGTTGCAGCGTTTTGAGGGTTCAGATCATACTACACGTGTTGTCGAGGACTGTTCGGCACGATAGACGCTGGTATAATCGCACCAAGCGCTGGGAAGATCACCAACCGGAAGAATCTGTGGTAAAGAAGTAGATGTTATGACCAGTCTTCAGCGTTCGGAGGTGGCCCGCCAAGGTTGAAGGGGAAATATGGCAGGTCTCAGAGCGTCGCGGTCTGCTCCTGGACTTGTACTATCATGCTACGTACTCAGTTAGCACACAAAGGCAAAATTTATAATGGGGTGTGTTGCCATTTTTCTGGCTGGTACCGTACCTGATCGCCTCATAACTTTGTTGGCATTGACTGCCGATCCATTGGAGGTTGCTGAGATGCTGAGAGTATGATTAGCATTAGTCATGTCATACTTGCGTCATACACTGTTCAGCACACCGGTTATTTGTTTGTAAAGCTCCTCTGCGCGCTTTGGGTTAGAGGACGTGAGATCTGCAGCTTGCTTGAGGAGGTCTTGAGTAGATGCCATGATTCAGTGTTGGCTACGGCTATGGTACTTTGATGGTACTAACGGGAAAGGCACCATCCATTCATGAGCCTTTGGCTTTCCTTGACAACCACAGTGTCCGGGTGAGTCTGTCTTTTCTCGTTGTCTTACAAGTCTGAGTCCCAGGAGGTGCACAACTCCTTAGCTCTATGAACATGTCCTGAATTTGATCCCAAGGCAGCGAGAGTATCGGAACGTGGGATCTGATAGTAATTCTGGGCATTAGTAAGCTCCTCGTTCCTGCATTCCCGGGGTGAGGCTATTCTCATTCTATCGTATCGTACATCAACACGACTGCTGGCTCCGTGTTCATGATCATGGACATCACGATGATGGATTAGACATAAGATTTCATCCAGGGTATGTATTCTTCTGAAGCAAACACACATCCAGTAAGCCAAATCACGGATGACTCATGTCACACCAAAACCTACCAGACATTGGTATGGCAGAGTCGGATGGAGAAGAATATGGATTTTTCGCACATAACCGGCTTGTCAAGGTCTGCGCTGGACTGGACGGATTCACCCTGAGTAGTGAATCTGATAAGGCATCCTTACTACGGTACGCGTTGCTTTTCAAATACCCACCAACTACTCAGCGACTTGGACTAGCACGCTAAAGGAATCTGCATCTTCATTTCCCCCCAAATTCGTCTCTTATCGTGTTCTTCAATGTCTTGCCTCTGCGTTTGAGTTCGGTGCCTCTGCACCAACCATCGTCCCTCTCGTCCTCCGATTCGGAAAGAATGTTGCATCCGACAACTATGGCTCAGTCGTCGTGGCACCCCTCGTCACACTTTTTACGAGTGCCGACCGTGGCACACGCATTGCGCTTCTCGATAGTCTCCCCGAGTTTGTCGAGAAACTGGATAAGAAAACAGTTGTTGATAAGATTTGGCTCAGCCATCATCTGGGAAGCTACTGTCCGCACTATCGTTCCACTTTCCCCCAAGGTATCCCAAGGTATGTTGACCTTGAAGGTGCGACCAATGTCGCTAATGCTCAAGTTATCCGACCGAGTACTCAACAACGACCTCCTCCGCCATCTCGCCCGCCTCCAGTCAGACCCAGAGTTTCCATCCGCACTAATACATGTATCCTTATTGACCGGCTGGGAATTTCGCTAGGATATAATACCAAACGGAAAGTTCTCGTCTCTGCATTCAGCATGGCGCTGAAGGATTTGTTCGTCCACGCCCACGTGGCAGGCGTTATGGCGTTCATGGCAACCGCGGAGTGCTTCGAGATTGAGGGCGTGGTCAGTAAAGCCGTTCCGGCTATTGTAGGCGCTACGCTGGATAAAGAAAAGTGAGTCTACAGCTCTCGTTTTACTACTTTGATGTATGTTGATGGCTGAATATGTACAGACTGGTTCGTGATCAGGCATTCAAAGCTGTCGAGCTTTTTATCAAGCGTTTAGAAGCTCACGCTTCGACTATGGTACGTCTGTAGTACACAACCCAGCTTATACCCCTTTTTCATAGCCAGAGACAGCATCCACAGAAGACGGCAGGGAAGATCCACCCGCGAGGCTTCCAGGTGCATACACACAGGCTGGCCCTGTGAACTCTGCGACGAGCACTGCAGCCGCTCTCACAGGGTGGGCTGTATCTTCGCTGGGAAAAAAGGCACGTTTAATTTGTTTTTCTTGATATTGATGGCTTACAAAGATCTGTCGCTCAGCTTGCCCCCGCTGACATGCAAACAATAATCTCAAGTACCATCAAAGGATCAACACTAGCACCAACCATCAATGGTAGCGCCAGTCCTTTGCCTGTGACACCTGTTTCTCCCTCCGCAAATCCAGTATGAAGCAAAGGCCTACAGCTGGGCGGGAATAAAGCGCCAATCTCTACGCTCGTTGACGAGGTTACCAACGAGGCAGGGCAGGGTAGTAGTCGTTCGTGGAATGACGATTTGATTGATATCAATGCCGATGAAGAGGATTGGAGTACGTCCTTTGACCATTCAAGATATCACTGGATCGAAACTGAGGTCATTTTTCTTCGTAGACGCGTTCGAGCCTGCTGTAGAATCAAAACTAGGGAGTACCATCGATGGTCTATCGCTGCGGTCCGGTTCTCCAAGTATGGATTGTTTACTCCTCCATAATGTCCCTACTGATTTATCTGATACAGCTTCAGATGAATGGGGCGCAATGGCATCATCGTCTCGACCTACAAATCGCTCGCCTACATCACGTCCCTCCCAGATCTCACGCACGCTCTCACCACAACCCCGCAGACCCATCGTACCTTCCCCTCTCGCACCAGCATTCTCACCCGCTTCAAGCACTCGATCAACGCCCATATCATCCCTAGTATGGCTGGGATGTCTAAGGAGGAGAAGGCGGATGAGATGGCCAGGAGGAAGGAGGAGAGACTTTTGGTGAGCGTTTTGTCTTTTAGTTTGAAGGCGTTGCGGCTTGTGCTTATTTGACTTTTTGCAGCAGATTGAAAAGCTAAAAGGAACAGAAAAAGAACGCGGCTGCTGCTGCCGGAAAGGTCTGAGTATAATAGCGTTGTGAACACTCGTGCTTATGCGATGGTGCGCTGAGTGACTGGGAGAGTTGGTAACACACATCGTGTGGAAGACTGGTCAGCGTCATGGTCGGTGCTCAAAGATATGTTATAAGCGCGCCAAGTTCCACGGCATTGATGCGTCAGGTCAACAGATGGAAGCGAACAAGTGCCTATTCGCTAGTCGTAGTGTTCCTAGAGTGCTAATATGGCTTTCGTCAATATTTATGCCCATCATGCGCGTGAGCACCAATTGGAAATTCAATATTCAATATTCAAGCTCAAGTGGTCCGATCGCGACTCGATCATCTGAAATAGTCTGCAACCAATCTGTATCAATACAACTCGAACTGTTGTACTCCTTCAACAACTCGCATTGGTTCAAGTTGCGGCAAATACTACGTACTATGATCTAAGTTTGATCCGTCAGTCGACTCATGGACCGTGCTACAATGTGGTTAAGCACTGAGTCAATTCAATTGAGCCGCGGACGCAACTTCCCGTGACCGACTACTACGTACAAATCTATCTTTTAAGTTGTTCCTTCGATTCCCTTGCGTGTTCTGGAGTTTGCTGGCGCCCACCCGATGCGGCAATGTTTAGCGCCTGAAGCCAATACAGCAGTAAATATTGTCACGGGGTTTGCTGTCATATAGTAATGACTGTTGTGTATTCGGAGGCACACCCTAACTTCTTGACGCTCTCTGGCTCTACTCTTCGCTCAGACTGATCATCAAATTCGACTGTTTCACCATGAACGATGGGAACTCGAGGTCTGTTCCTCCACGCATCGAGACATCTAATGAAGCAAACGCTACGGAACTCCCGGTACGGGGCTGATATCCATCAAGTTACATTCGAAACGCTGACTCTTGTCAATGCATCCCTTGTCTAGGGCCGACCTCGTGGCAAAATAAGTCGGTTTCTGGGGAAAGTCATGAATGGTGAAATACAAAAGATTTCTGTGAGTCGAAATGAATAGTGAGTGCACTGTGATAAAGCTGATATCGTACACGAGCGCTCGAACTTGAAGGATTCACGCACCCGTGACCCTGTTCTCCCGAACGTCGATCGTGAAGGTGTCTCATCAATTTCAAATATTGAGGTAGGTCACCTTTCATTTTATGCTCTCTCCGTGAGTTTTGTTGTTTACCAGGTTCAGGATGCTCCCCCTGGTGCAAAACAAAGCGCCGATACCCAATCGGCACTTCGAGACGTCAACGAGACTGCCAAAGGCATGAATCTACTTTCAGGACCTGTGACATCTGGACTTTCCGCCGCACAAAATGCATCAGCAGATCTCGAGGATGCATGTAAATTCGAGGACGCATATCTTCGGCCTCTCAAGATATTTGACAGCGTTATCGGATCATCGATGTTGCCGTGCTGATAAAAACGTGTTTCAACTGCTTGTGCGAGATTTTAGCGGGCTGTGAGACAGAGCTGAATCAGCTAATATTCTAAGGCAGGGTGGACGGCCCATGCTAGGAGTGCACGCCTGCCAAATCTCATGGCACGCGGCGCGCCTGTCAACTAGACCTTCGCACACCCAACCTGATTATATGTGCTCTCGAGAACGCTTGTGGCCCGGGCATGGACTGGGCGACCAACTCGCATTTATGGCGTCGATATCATGATGGGTTCATGGCAAGCGTCGTTCTATGCTTCTGACCGATTATTTCGCTCAAGTAATGACGCAGGTCAATCCTAGAGCCATTAATGCTTCCTCAAGGTGATAAGCCAACGAAACTTTGCAAATACGCATTCGCTGAACAAGTTTCTTTAGAGCGGTTGAATATGGGTGGACAGTCACGTGCTGTTCGTTTGACATGCTTTGCAACCGAGTCGTAGTACGTGAGTCCTCAGTCCAATCCCACACTCTTTGTATGTGAAACTTAATTTGTTTGTCCTAATACCGTCGACACTAAATTCACTCAACGCTGGCACTGGCCGTCCGCCGATTGCCCCTGGTTTCATGTTTGGAGCGCGTAGGAGAACTGGCTTTAACGTCCGCCTATCAACGAGGAAGACGTCAGATTCCCTCAGCAACAAACCAACTTTCTTTCGATGAACGACCCCATAGGAAGCCTGAAGGTGACTTGACAGGGATTACGGCTGAACAGGTATGTGGCTAATTGTGTTGCATGCTTTGTGTAGCTGAAATTATTCTAGATCGCCCTCCAGAACCATATTGAGGCGCTTCAGCCTTCAGCCGCAGCAACAAGCTTTGTACCCGCAGCAGCTCGCTTCGAACCAGGTCCTCTCGCTGCGAACTCCAGGATTGGTCCCAAACAGGCACAGGCGCGTCCAAAGCCCATTACTAACCGACATGGGTGGAAACTTAGGTGTCAACGCTTTCAATTCCCCTATGGGCCAATTCAATAGCTTCTTCCGTAGCTCATTAGTTCGCTCCATCCATTCGGTACTTTGGCTGAAGAGCTTGGTCCCATTGGAGACATCGAAGTGGAAACCAGTGCTTTGTTGAAGGACTGCAACTTCCCTACAGGGGAGTTCTCAGACGGCGTTCTCAAATGCCTGCTTCCTACACCCTGGACGTGAGTTCCTGGCTACCTCTCACAAGATGTGAGCTGACCATACCATATACAGCGTCCCAGAGAGGGAATTTGAGGCTCGGAAGGATCTTCGTGAAAAAGCGCATCTTTACTATTGATCCTGAGTCTGGAAAGGACCTTGATGACGCACTGTCCATTGAAGCCAACGACGATATCACTTATGACGTGGGCGTGCGGCACGTCGCTTACGTCGCTTACTTCGTCAAGCCTAACGCTGCTCTTGACCGCGATGCTCGCAAGATGGCAACCAGCGCGCCGTCCCCATGCTTCCTCCCACCATTAGCGAAGAGGCGCGCAGTCTTAACCCGGGTGTTGAACGTCTGACATCCTCGGCCGTCTTCGCCATGACCAAGGAGGGCAAAATCGTCAACAAGTGGTTGGGCAAGACCGTTATCAAGTAAGCGTTATATTTCCGTGCACCGTGCACAGAATAATTGAATTCATTTAATGTTAGATCTTGCGTGAAACTGTCATATACCGACGCTCAGAAAGCTATCGACGGTCACATTCTGGGCGATCTCGTGGTCGCTCCGGAACGCAGTACATTAGCGATCATCCATGACCTCAAGGTCCTGAATGGTCTCGCAAAGCAGCTTCGTGCTGCACGCACGTACGCGCAAATTATTTTTTTTGGGAAGCCAGCATGGACAAATCACGCGTAGACCCGGTGCGAAATGAATACTTTAGTACGTCGTTCGCATCGTGATAGCGTCCAGAGCCGCTACTGACGTATCAAAAAGTTCAGTGTTAAACGTGCCAACTACCGCTTCCGCAAACGAAATACGGGAACGCTACAGAGCATTGTCTGTAATTTTTCGCCCCGATAAGCAAAGCGGGGAACGGACAAGGGACACTGCAGCTGTGGAATTCCTTGAAATTCAGAAGGCTTACGAAGGTGAAAGTCTTTAGTCCAGTTCCAATGCAATATCTGACAACACTTCAAAGTTTCGTCAGACCCTCTTATTCGTCTTGACAGATACGTGCGCATCTTCGACGTTGGAGGATCGATCGTAATCAAGAAGTGTTTGATCACCTCATTCGGCCAAGAGGCACTGTGACGTGTGGAATTGACGCATCGACGTTGTTCGCACGCGATGATGACCTAGATTATGATTCGAGAGGCATCCTCACCCGCTTGCGTGGAGTCTGTGTCTCTCAATTTGCCATTCGTCACTCTGTTATGGCGAGTTCCATACCTTTTCGTTCCCACCTGACATTCATATCCGCTCCAAATCGTGCAGAAAGTGTTGAATGACAAGATTAATCTCAAATTCACAAGTCGCCTGGGACCAGGCCCTCGAAATGACTTGCTGAGTAGAAATAACCTCATGGGCGCGATACGCCATCAATTTTCTCCTCGGCTCGCTTTGGAGGTATGTCTTATTATTACTCAGCGAATGATCGTCATCTGAAAAGGCTGCAGCACATTTCTTAGACCCTCAGCTCGTTGTCGCAAAAGCGAGCTACGAAGATAATGACAATACCCTAAATTGCCGTGTGCATTTCATTCCTGCATTCTGGAACCTTCTCCCTCCGGCTAGTACCGTTTCCTTCAGTCGTCGACTCTTCCGACACGCTTCAACGGTGGGCTCTGTGGTAGTGGACATTCTCTCCATTGTCCATGGGTTGACTTCTCGTCTTCCAGGATAGCGCCGTTAGCCTATCGTCCAAGCGCCTTGAATTTACCCTAGACGAAAGCGGCCGATCAGCGAGTGGACGGCGAGCAAACCGAGAACGCCGACGCAAACAACATCATTGAAGACGTTTGTGTTTAATTTGCACCTGAGCTATACCGAGGACTGATCTGAACAATTATAGCTCATGCTGCTAACTAATATCACCGTCGCGCAACGTATGGCCCTGCTTCGTAGACATGATACGCCGCTCGAGGGACGTCTTGCGAGTCATCATCATCCTATTCCAGTTACAACTTCATACCGAACGCGCCAATCGACTCAATATCGCAGTCGATGTCTCCTCTCGTGGTGCACACATTTTACCTCTCTTATTCGGCACTACGCGGATGTTCTTGCGCACCGTCAAATCGAATCAGTTTTTCAGGGTGGAGGCGAGTTACACTTCGTGACTGTCTTTGTCATATTCTGACGAATGGCAGTGGAACCTAAATTCTCCACGGACCGTGACGCTGTGGCTTCTAATCTCGGACCTCACTTAGCGATACGGTCCTGACATTCGTCCAGCTAAGGTTGCTAGCGTCCTTGATGCTGCGTTCGACGTTGTTGTCCCCGAGTTTGGTATCGAGAAGCGGTCCATGTTGACCAAATGCCTAACGATGTAAGCGTTTCAAACTCGATTCACGAGAAGAAATCTGATTGCTTGAACTAGAACTACGTTTATGATGAGCGCTCGTATGCCTTGCAAATATATTGGTCGACTAGGGACATCCTTAGCCGGTTGACAGAGAACAGCGACGACGAGCACCTGAGGAAGGTTAAGCAGAACGCTGAGGCCCACGCAGTCAAAATGGAAGTTGCATCTCGCTCTGCGCATGACGAGAAGGCCATCTTTCATGAGGATGATCAGACGCCGATGAAGATGAGATTGTGTTAGGGAGGGACATGGAAGCCGAAAAGGCGCCTGAGACCTCAAACAAAGGCTCTTGTTTGCCGCCAAGGCCCAGCCTGTATTGGAGGGTTTGAGGATCACACCAGCTAACCACAGGATTCAGGACATCAAGGAGCCCATGACCGCTCCCGTGCGTATTTCTTCTGAGTGATTTTGTTGACTCGTATTTAAGGTTATCGCGACCGCTGATTTGACCAAGAGCCCGCCCGCCATCAAGGGGTATGGTATGTTTCATTTTCTTTTTGCATTCTTGTTCTAAACTTCAAATAAATTAGTCATCTCAGCGTAATGGCTCCAGGGTCGGGCTCGAGAAGGCGCTCGAACATAACTCAATTCTGCAAGACATCGAGGCTCAGCGCCTGTAAAACGGAATAAACTCCCTCGGGCAAATAGGTTTCTGTCGTTCCTTTTTCTTGCGCCCGTTGTCGTTCGATAAACCAAACTTGTACGTGTCTCTGGCCCTGCGATCGGCGCAGCATGATTGAGCGGTCTACTGATGCTAGTCAGCCAGGCTATCAGAAGCTTCCTCCGCCCAAGGGGACCAACCCTAGAAAACGGGTATCGATCCCTCTCGGGAACGTCTCAAACCTGCAAGATCTATGATCATTTTCCAGACTGCTTAACCTTCTCCTATGATGGAAAGCTAGTCGTAGGCGCTGGCACACATGCGTCCGTCTGGGACCCTCATGCCATCGTAAAAGAAGCTGGTTCAGAAGACCTAGCGACCAGATGTGAGTGAACATTTACCACTCACTGCGACTCAATCTTATTGGCGATGAGCTCTAGAAGGTGTGTATCATCGAGTCATGCTTCCGACTTCGGGATACTCATATTTCACTCGTACTAGTCGTTCTTAGATGTGCGTGCCGTGTTGTCATTTTTTTGAATGATTATAACCTTGACAGTTCAGGCGGACGCTACGGGATGGGATATTCGGCTGAGCTCGAGCAGGAGTATCAGGGGAGGTTTTTGGACGACGCTCCAGACGGTGGTTATGAGCGTTGTCGTCGTCTCAACTAGCCCATTCTTAAGTCTGATCGATACGCGCTCAGTCTTCCGCGCCAGGTTATCACAATTCCTCTGCACATAATCACCGCGGTCCTTTCAGACCATCTGGTTCATGTTCACGCGTGCTTTTCTCTCGCATCTCCTCGCTCCTCTCAACAACGGTACTTTAACTACGATGCGTGTTTTCTCGTCGCGGTCATCATGCTGTCGAAATTGCTACAATACGTGACAAACAAGTACATATTTCTCCGCTATGTTTCCAATCATCGAATGAGTCATATGTAGGGGCCTCAGGCCTCTGGTCCAGATGTCAGGAAGACGCCCGCTGCTTCTATGCAAAACATTCTCCGTCAGTAAGACGATGAATTTGCGACTCCAAAGACTCTTTTGATGACGTACTATGCCCTCTGCGCATCATTTTCGGTCCTCGTTCCGATCTCTCGTCGAGAACATAAGTATCGTTCTTGCCATAATCATTGAATAGACTTGCTCACGTCACATTAGCCATTCTTTCTCAGTAGGTTATGATGGACGCGTCTGGCCTGTAGGCGCGAATAAGTTGGGTTGACTGGCTGGGGTAGGCCAGCGCGGACATCCGGACGTCCTTTGTGGATCTCCGGCTCTCTCTTTCCTGAATCGTGCACTCCATTAACGCCGGTCGAATTTCCACCCACTGGGCGTCCTCGAGGATCAGATCGATGAGAAGCAATATTGAATCGAAACTCGGCGTGCCGTGAGGATGCCAGCATTGGCAAGCGAGCATCGTGTAGTCAAGGCGGCAAACAACTTATACGTACGTGCGAAGTAGGTGTATGTGGCTTTCTAAAGGTACATAAGAGGTGGGGGGAGTCTCTCTTCCACTTTGCGATTCCTTCGTCGCTTCTCAGGTCCTATGATGAATGGGGGGCTCAGCACTCGCACCAAAATCGCTGAATACCAGCAGCGCCTGCCAAATGAAGTTCTATCCCACATTTTCCATGAAGCACTCCCGCCGTTGCATGATATGGCGCCTTGTTTTGACCGCCTTGACGACCTGTCGCTTTCATCAAGCCTGCTTGAAGCTCCCCTATTGTTGACCAAAATCTGTCGACAATGGAGAGATGTTGCCGTGGGGATGCCTAGCTTGTGGTGCAGGCTGTTAGTGATAATAGAATGCGGAGACTGGCAGCGACGTGCTGTCTTCTACGACACATGGCTCAAGCGTTCCCAAGGACGTCCAGTCTCATTGGCCCTCCTGTGGCCCGACTTCACCAGCGACTCGGCCAAGTTACGAAACCTTCTGCAGCCTTATATTCATCAGATCACATCTCTCACTGTCGACTTCTACGATTCCCCGCTGCCAATTACACCTAATTTGTTCACAGGCTTCATAGCCGTCGAGCAGTTGTCTGTACGCATTGCTGATGATATGGATGACGAGGTTTCAACATGTATTGCATGCTCTGCATCTCAACTACCTGCTCTGCGCAGTTTCGATTTCGAGGCATCATATCGATTAGGCCTTGGTGACTTGGAGTCTTTTGATCCCATGTGGAGATCTCTAACGAAAGTTTCGCTTGATGCAAGTACCCATGACTCCGTTCTGTACTTGCTCCAGGTAGCTCCCGACCTCTCCTCATTGACGATTGACACATACCTAGGGGACGAGGAAAACTTGAAGCCTTTCATGCACGCCAAACTTCGATTCTTATGTCTTTATGTAGACACGTTATCTGACCTGCTCGACGCTCTCTCACTCCCCAGTCTACGCACGCTGGAAGTTCATGGCTTGTCAACCTGGCCTCACGATGCATTCAAGGCATTCCTGGTACGGTCGGGGTGCTCGCTGGAGAGCCTGATTGTTGGCAGCGCAGTAGCCATAGCTGATGAGCAGAGAGCAGAATACATCGGCCTTTCCCCCTCCCTCCAATTTCCAGGGCCATACGATATAGATTTTGAAATGTGATAACCAGTCGCGCTCTTGTAATGCTCTCAGTCTCAGAATATCATCAGATGATTTCGCCTATTGAATTTTACTGAAATGCATCAGTGGGTTGGATTGTGCTACTGAAAGCTACAGAGCGACCACTATCTACTTCGTAGCGGCGGGGAGCGCCAGTCCCCGACTCCGTTGTTTGTCAATTTAATTCCTTCCTGTGCTAACCCTCGAGCGGTCCTCGCACCCCCATCAAGAAGCGTCATCTGGCCAACGGTCCATCGCTGCGGTCCGACTGCAACCCCAGTAAGAAAGATCGTATCGTATTAATTCACGCGGTGTTGTTACCATCTTTTTGTTCAGGCCTAGGCGCCTACCTGCATCTGAGGCTGATTTTTCAAATAAGGTTGGCGCCGGGCTCAGAGAATATGGTACAAAAATATTTCTGAAAGCTTCGCCCGTCCATAATGATCAGAGTTATTGGGCGCGAGAAGCCATGCAAAAATAACATCCAGTAGACGCATTGAAGCCGAAACCTCGGCCTTGGTTATCAGGTCTTCTGGAAGTTATTCTGCGTCCAAGAGGGCGCAGGCATTGTCCAATCTGGACCGAAGTACCTTCATCTTTTGGGACAGTCGATAAATAGGATACTTTCGAATCTCGTCGAAATCGATGTCGACAAATACCGTGCTGAGTCAGGTATCAATGTTTCCCATGGACTCTGCGGAGGCTCTGGGATGCATCGATGAAAGGGGAGTCATGAGGACCCGCAATCAATTTGACAGCAAGATAGGACAGCTCGTACATAGTAGGTACCACCGAACTCTCAAAGTATAGCCGCTCTCAACAAAAAATCTATGTAGTGCTAGTGGCGGTCGAGGACTTCACATTGTCGCCCATTACACCCCCACGTAGAACGCACCGAGGCTGCAAGAAGAGCCTCGGTTAGGTCCTGCAGTGATACCTTGATCAACGTGAGGAAGGGAGAGCTCCGCCGGCGGTCCTCTTGGACCACCGGGGAGGTTTATCCTTCAGGGCATGCAGTGAATCCGCCGGGGTGAAAAAGACGTTCCCGACACGTCCTGGCGTGATACCTTGCGTAGAAATTCCCGAAATTGGTTTCCAATCGCCCACTCCATGATATAAATCGCCCGACAAAAAAATCAAGACATCTCCTGGACGATATCTAAGCATAATTAGTGAGCTTGTAACGTCATCAATTTTGAAACGCACTGAAGTTTAATATGCAAGTCCGGCAAATAGCATTCGCCGCCAGTGAAATGGCCAAGAGGAAATATAGCGGTAGGCCCGCCGTCGAGACCGTCGCGATGCGGAAGAACTTGCAATTTCCATACGATTGCCCTCCCAAGCCATGGTCCGGGATCGTCCTCGACCCATACACCGGCTTCGAAGGCTGCTCGGTACTTTTGATAGTATTCCGGCCATGATACTTTGAACATTTCCTGCAAGGTCAGGGCGAGCGGCCGAGTGTACGCTAAGTACCACTGCACAGCTTGCGCGACTTGCGCGTTCCGCATCATATCAGCTGATGGCTTCACAGGACTCTGAGGAATGTTCAATACGGTGACACTGCTCAAGAAACTAAAACAACCTCCGTCGTGTGGTGGCCTTGCATGTGCCACGCGTGTACGAGGTGCGTGACGCCCGTACGTTCAGATGCTTCGTGCTCGTCGGCCAATCTATAGGTGAGTCCGTCGTGGACGAAATCGAGCTGCGCATCCTCATCATCTGCGCATTCTTTCGCTGCTTCGTCGGGCTTCCGCCTATACCTCATAAGAAAGTCTCTAAAATCGTGCCGGCCGTCCTTCTGCGATTTGTGCGGGTGGCAAAAATGGTGCAGGACTTGTGTTGCGAATAAAGTATCCTCAAGCAACTCGTCCTACGATGACGTCAGCGCGACCTTCACGAGAATTGAAATAACGCACGTTGAGACCATCATTTAGGACTTTGTGGCCTGCAGCAGCAGCCGCTTCGACATCCACCGCTGTACGACCGAGTACAGACGGTGTATCGGAGCCACGACGATATATTGGTGCCTGCTAAATGACTATATAAGTACGAGGGTTGGTGAGCAAAAAAGAACATACTTTGCCTACTCTGCGTTGACTTGCAGATCTACGCACGATCCGCTTGGCGAAGTACGCCGCCAACAACCTTCCTTCTTCATCGCAAAATTTAGCGGAACTAGCGTCCGAGTCCCAATGTGCCATGCTATCGATCGTTTTTTGCGCTTCTAATTTACCTTGATTGGACGGCTTCGGACGAGCTGACAAGGCGTCGATGTTGGCACCTGAGATACGATATGTCGGCGCGTGTTTCTGCCATAATTTGGCGTTGTGCTGAACCTTGCGTATAAAGGATCTTTCGCGTTGGGCAGACCGTCTGCGCGCACGCGCTTTATTCGCGAGTACAGGGAGAGGAACAGATGTTGTTTTGAGAACAAGACTCTTGGCGGTGCCTCGCAGTTTAGCGGCGTGTCGGGCAACATCACCAGCATCGCTGATGATATACGGTTTGATTCCCTACAGCCTTTGAGTTAACAGGAGACAACGTTAGAGGGTCCAAGCACCTCATGGCCTTTCGGCGTCCTATTATGAGCGCGCGCCCTGCCCATTGCAAAGTAGTTAAGGAAATGCGACGGGGGTTGCAAGACGGCGGTCAGGTGTCTGGAAAGCACTATGAAGGAATCGCAAAATACCCACATTTTATGTACCTTTGCTTAGCGGTATGTGAGAAGTCCGACTGACCCGCTCGGTACCTTCCATTTTGGCATAGCACGTCATCAAAAGAGTCGCAAACCCATCGTCTTACTGACGGAGTAACGTTCTGTATAGAAGCAGCGGGCGTCTTCCATTTTGGTCGGTGGTCATCTCAAGCTGGCTGAATTAGACACAAAACGGGCCTGGAGCCTTCGGTGATCGAGCGAATCGAAGCGGAGGACGGCGTTTTTGGGCTGTGTGCGTTCGTCGTCTGTGTGAATGGTTCCGACATCAATACATAGTCCATCAGCGCATCAGCGGTCGCAGTCGCGGATAATTCCGATTTGTTACCCCAGAATAGCCACCTAATTACCGCCTCTCCTCAAATGGGTTTTCCGCGTATTCCAACCCATCGTGCCTATCGTCTCTGTGTGTACGCTGTAGGTTGGGGCTGTTCCCGAAGAAGTGATACAGGCCGTTTGGGTAGAAGTCCGAATTTAGCTGACGTGGGATGAAATGCAGCGGGAGGTAAGAACATAACCAACATGAAGGTTGAGATGTCTGACCCCACGCAGGCTGTAACGAAGACCCATTAGATATTTCGCGTAAACGGAGGTGAACAAATTAGTGAAGCGAATGTCAATGGAAGCGCCGGTATCGTTTAATGAAACAATCTCTGGTGGCAGGAGTAAAGGGATGCGTACTTGGACGCTCCCTGGCCCTGATCGTATTGCTGTATCTTCGCCTTGACTTTTGAAACAATTGAAGAGAATGTCTTCTTGCCAGCTAGTGGTTGCCGAAGTCAGTCACCGACTATGATACGAGAACTGAAATACACACACTCTGCTATCTAATTGCCGCCTGCGCCGTACTACGGCGGAAATTGAGGATGGGTGGATCGACAAAAGCATCGATCCACCGTTCGCGGTTGTTCGAATTTCGAAAACAAAGTTATGTAAGCAACGTCTCAGAATGGCGAGCTCCTGCCGCGTGGCAGTGTCGAAAATCCTAATTGAGTCATCTGACGGACTTGTCGTCGCTCTCCGACGTCCACAACCAACTCCCGACTGATTGACTATGCGTTACTGCGTGGAGGGGCTCATTGGTCGTTGCATCGCATATTTTGATCCCATTCTCGAGGAGTATCATTCAAAAAAATGACAACACGGCACGCACATCTAAGAACGACTAGTACGAGTGAAATATGAGTATCCCGAAGTCGGAAGCATGACTCGATGATACACACCTTCTAGAGCTCATCGCCAATAAGATTGAGTCGCAGTGAGTGGTAAATGTTCACTCACATCTGGTCGCTAGGTCTTCTGAACCAGCTTCTTTTACGATGGCATGAGGGTCCCAGACGGACGCATGTGTGCCAGCGCCTACGACTAGCTTTCCATCATAGGAGAAGGTTAAGCAGTCTGGAAAATGATCATAGATCTTGCAGGTTTGAGACGTTCCCGAGAGGGATCGATACCCGTTTTCTAGGGTTGGTCCCCTTGGGCGGAGGAAGCTTCTGATAGCCTGGCTGACTAGCATCAGTAGACCGCTCAATCATGCTGCGCCGATCGCAGGGCCAGAGACACGTACAAGTTTGGTTTATCGAACGACAACGGGCGCAAGAAAAAGGAACGACAGAAACCTATTCGCCCGAGGGAGTTTCACGAACCAAGGATAAATGGCTTCATGGTAGATCCTCGGGTCGAGGGGAACGATGGGTCGATGAACGAGCTGATAGGTGCCAGGCTCGTACAAGATCTGGCACATCGTGATCCGCGTCGAAGTCCATCTTCGAGTGAGAGCCTGAACAGTGGACAGAGTGCTTCGGAACTTCGAAGGTTGATCAGATCAGGGACAAAGCCTAAGCGTCTCTATTTAGCAACTGAATCCCACGACACGAATCTTATTGCCGGATGCTGCGCAAATGCTGCGTCTCACTTATTCCATCAGTCGCGATGTTGCATCTTGGTTGATCGACACAACGTAGCGTCCCTCCTCCTGCTTTGGACATAACATTAGTATGTGAATCCGGCCAGCAGATATATGAAGCTTGATTGTGCGTTTCCGGTTGACTCAGGGGAGGCAAAACACCGTTGATCCTCGGTTCCCTGGAGAGAATTCCCTATATAGTGAGCCTGGCCTATTGAGAGGACACAAGCTCATGCCTAAAGAGACAACGTATTTCATCTTTTGCAGTTTCGTCATCGAACTTCATCAACATCTCATTGGGTGTTTCCGAGATGCAAGTTACTGAAAGGAAGCTCACTCATCCAGTACACAGTGACGGTATTTGCGTTAGGCTTACCATTTTCGCGTGAAAGTCAGAGATTTGGTCAGTCAAGACAAAAACGACCGCAATTCAAAACGCGCCTGTCCTTTATTGAACTGCGCTCGCTTTAGACCGCCTACAGAACAGCCAGCATTATCAACTAGTACTCTTATAAGATCCTGCAACAGAAAATAAACAAAGCTAAGAAACCAACATGATCGCGCACACCTGCGTATCTTCATCCATAATCTGTTGGCTCCACCCGCGTTTTCATTGACCTTGGGTGGCTGAGTCACTGACGCGCATTGGCAACTTGAACAACGCGTGACGCGTGACGCCTCGGCGACACCCAGTCCAGGTACGCTGAGTCACTTAAACGATCTGCCAGGACCGCGCTGCACGTCGCTTACGTCGCTTACTTCGTCAAGCCTAACGCTGCTCTTGACCGCGATGCTCGCAAGATGGCAACCAGCGCGCCGTCCCCATGCTTCCTCCCACCATTAGCGAAGAGGCGCGCAGTCTTAACCCGGGTGTTGAACGTCTGACATCCTCGGCCGTCTTCGCCATGACCAAGGAGGGCAAAATCGTCAACAAGTGGTTGGGCAAGACCGTTATCAAGTAAGCGTTATATTTCCGTGCACCGTGCACAGAATAATTGAATTCATTTAATGTTAGATCTTGCGTGAAACTGTCATATACCGACGCTCAGAAAGCTATCGACGGTCACATTCTGGGCGATCTCGTGGTCGCTCCGGAACGCAGTACATTAGCGATCATCCATGACCTCAAGGTCCTGAATGGTCTCGCAAAGCAGCTTCGTGCTGCACGCACGTACGCGCAAATTATTTTTTTTGGGAAGCCAGCATGGACAAATCACGCGTAGACCCGGTGCGAAATGAATACTTTAGTACGTCGTTCGCATCGTGATAGCGTCCAGAGCCGCTACTGACGTATCAAAAAGTTCAGTGTTAAACGTGCCAACTACCGCTTCCGCAAACGAAATACGGGAACGCTACAGAGCATTGTCTGTAATTTTTCGCCCCGATAAGCAAAGCGGGGAACGGACAAGGGACACTGCAGCTGTGGAATTCCTTGAAATTCAGAAGGCTTACGAAGGTGAAAGTCTTTAGTCCAGTTCCAATGCAATATCTGACAACACTTCAAAGTTTCGTCAGACCCTCTTATTCGTCTTGACAGATACGTGCGCATCTTCGACGTTGGAGGATCGATCGTAATCAAGAAGTGTTTGATCACCTCATTCGGCCAAGAGGCACTGTGACGTGTGGAATTGACGCATCGACGTTGTTCGCACGCGATGATGACCTAGATTATGATTCGAGAGGCATCCTCACCCGCTTGCGTGGAGTCTGTGTCTCTCAATTTGCCATTCGTCACTCTGTTATGGCGAGTTCCATACCTTTTCGTTCCCACCTGACATTCATATCCGCTCCAAATCGTGCAGAAAGTGTTGAATGACAAGATTAATCTCAAATTCACAAGTCGCCTGGGACCAGGCCCTCGAAATGACTTGCTGAGTAGAAATAACCTCATGGGCGCGATACGCCATCAATTTTCTCCTCGGCTCGCTTTGGAGGTATGTCTTATTATTACTCAGCGAATGATCGTCATCTGAAAAGGCTGCAGCACATTTCTTAGACCCTCAGCTCGTTGTCGCAAAAGCGAGCTACGAAGATAATGACAATACCCTAAATTGCCGTGTGCATTTCATTCCTGCATTCTGGAACCTTCTCCCTCCGGCTAGTACCGTTTCCTTCAGTCGTCGACTCTTCCGACACGCTTCAACGG